GGAATTGTTTTGTTTTATATGTAAATTATGGTAGGAATGCCTCATGGGGCCATGCCCAAATTATCCCCTGCATAGACGGTTTCTGTTTTTCTATACCGCCCTCATTAAGATTCTGTTTAAGGCAGATTATGACACATATTGCGTACCATCAGTAACTATATTTAAAAATGTGTGGTTATTAGTGACCGTTAATCGATAATCTCCCCTGAAGATGATCTCAATAAAGATCGAAACGTTGGCACGATAAAGAAAATGTTGTTCTGAAACCTACATCACACCAGACCGCATCTCACGATTTCTGAATAATTATATATAAAAATATGAATTTCTCTTCTTCAGTCTATATCAACAATATTTAGATTTTAATTTATTATAAGTTAGAAAAATAAGGACATCAACAAAAACTCCCGAAATGTTTTTATTTTTATCTCCGATGTCGACATTTTAGTAAAGTTGTTTGTTTTGGTAAAAATGTCGGTGCTTTGAGTTTATCTTCAAACTTTAGATAGTTTTTTTAAACTGTTTTCACCTTGCAAAATAGAAAGAGACTTAATTAACGATAAGTACTTATTATAGAAATAATTAAACAATTTTTTTTCTTTCGGCAAAAAACTAAAAACTCATCCTATCTAATAAAACTTTCACTAGTTCGTATTGAACTGTGTGATATTGGCTGTTAAGGATAAAATAATAATCAGCAGGAATAATAATATAATATTATAATAATCGTATCGGGGGCCGCAACGGTTTAGGCGTTGACACGGCGCTCATCACTGTAAGGTAAAGGTCCCGGGTTCGAATCCAGCGGCCCTGCATTCCAACCCGACATATTTACAAATGGCCTTTTTTTCAAAAACACCGTCACCCTGATAGTTTATATGACCTCTGCTGTTGCGAACCCTCGTAAAAGTAATAAATGTATCAAATGACATTAGATATACAGGGTGAATTGCTACTCGTGCTACAAACTTCTCCAGTAGATTCTTCACCCTAAAATGAACAAAAAAGTTCATATTGTCCATGGTCCGATTCTCAACNGGACCATGGACAATATGAACTTTTTTGTTCATTTTAGGGTGAAGAATCTACTGGAGAAGTTTGTAGCACGAGTAGCAATTCACCCTGTATAAAAGGTTACTAAAAACGAAAAGTCGTTCTTCAGTAAAGTAAGCCACAAAAAAAAATAAAAAAATAATAATAATAATTTTGAAAAAATCAGTTTTGAATTGCTTTAAGCACCCTTTAAGATTCCACATAAAAATTCTTAACTCCTCTGGATTATATCCAAATACGACGTTATTACAACCCTTATAAGCTCAATTTCTCTCTTTCAGATTATATCAACAATGGTTACATTTTAGTTTATTATAAGTTAGAAAAATCAGGACGACACACAATAAAACTCCCGAAACATTTTATTTTATATCTCCGATTCTGATTTATTTACCGAAGCCAGTTTTGTCATTAAATGTAGTTTATAAGGGTCTAAATCTTTGTAATGTTTCCTGCCGATCGGTTGAGTCGTTACAAAATTATCACTATTTTCGCGATTTTCGAACAAAAATCGCAGACAGGAAGAGGAAAATTTGGAAAGAAAAATTCATTTGTTGATTTTCCCAAAAATTTGTATCCAGAATTATTTTAGGGTGCGAAAAATGAATATCATCTTTGGTTTTTGCTTTAAAAAAAATCTAATTTGCTACGTCGATCGGTCACAATGCTAATCTCGCTCGGATCATAATTACATAAGCTGCCTATTGAAATGCAATATATGACCCGTGTCTAATATTTTTCGACCGAAAAACATTAAAATCAATGATCCCACGTCCTTTCCTTCTAAGCTATTATATAGGTACATATACCTTGCCAACATTCCGGCGTGAAAATATGGCTTGAAAAACGGCATTGTTTGAAGAAAAAATGTGGAGAAAGCATTTGTCTCGCTACGGGGTAATCACAGAATAGAATCGAGATTTCTAATTAATTAGTTATTACTGCATGGAAGGAAAACGTTATGCAAAGTTGGGCGTAAACACTAAAAACAGGACGAAAATAATATTGCCGTGTCGAGGATTGTTCAAGCCGTTTTCACCCCTGCTTGATGCAACGATTACAATTACACAATTAATAACGAACGTTGACAATGACTACGATTAATTCTGCTAAGTGGTTTTATCAATTCAAATTTTAATATGGACAAAAGTTAAAAGTTCTTAACTTCCTTTTCACGTTTTCTTTCGCGTATGACATGACAGAAGGGCGTCGAGTTTCACTTTTGATTGCTCTGTATTTCTAAAAAGTACCTGATGAAAAGACTGGTCTAATTATTGATTTTGTAAAATTTTATAATTATGCTGTTTTTTTCTTAGAGGCGTTTGTTTTGTAATGCGAGTTTTGATCTGTTGTCAAGTATTCTTTTGAGTAGTTTATATCGTCTGTTCACTTCAATGATTATTAGTCAAGTGTGGGCAATCCGAGTAAATCTTTTATCGGTTTAAAGTCCCATCCTAGACAGAGTTTAGTAGCTATTCACTAAGAGTTGATTTCTGAATTTGACCCTCAATTTTTGAACCATTCTCCTGAACATAGATGGTCCAGGAGGCTTCTGAAGGCCACTGGGTCTGAACGAAAGGAGGGGATCTGCATATAAGGGGTTGTCGGAATGTATTGAATAGAGAATTGGACCAAAGATGCTGCCTTGCAGAACACCCGCTTCTACATAGTCGAGGACAGATAGGATCTTAGGACTAGGTAATAAATGAATGGTTTTTGTTTCTTGAGTTTCCAGAGCAAGCCTGGTTGCCCCAATCGACCAAAGGTGTGCTTAACATCTAAAAATGCACCAGAGCGGTATACCTTCCACTCAAGGTGCAGTGATGTCTGCCTCCCAGTTAATGATGTTGATGAATATGGATACTAGGAAGTCGTGGTTTTTTGTTCCCCAAATACTGCAACCAGCTTATTGTACTTTCCTAGTTTCTAAGTTCTGGTTGATCGACTCGATCTTCTCCTATGGAGTCATTGCCTGTCATAGATTCAATTCCTTTCCCTGGGTTTTCTTTATATAGCTGTATCTGTCTCCTCATTTCATTACCTACAAATGGTGTCATCATTTAATATAACCATGTTATGAAGATTTCTCAGATATCAGTGACCTCTATACTCAGAATCCTATCACTCTTCTCAGTTTTTCTAATGATTCCCTCCACACTGTTGGACTAGGACCCAGTAGAGACCCTTGGGGAACCCCATGTTCTCCAATTCGGTCCACAAATGTGTACTGGCCACTTTACCTTTTAGAAAACTAATACAAAAGTCTAATGACCTCCCTCTGATTTCATTTAAGTATAATTTATCAATGAGGATATTGTGAGAGATAATATCAAGTCCTTGTAAGTTCAGTCGTGACTGTCTTAACCACTTCTTTATTTTCAAACATAACTATTTTTGTCAACATATATATTATGGTTATTCCTTCTCTGTAGCCATTGAGAATTAAAAATGATACATGGTTTTTGGCCAAAAAACATTACATTTTATTTTTGAAAACACACCTGAATATTTTAAAAATGTGTGGTGTTTAGTGACCATTAATTAATAATTATTTAGAGATCGTGAGATACGGTCTGGTGTGATGTAGATTTAGAAAAACGACAATGATACATCTACACAGAAAACACAGACTTTGAGTACACAAATACTTTGATTACACCTAAAATTTCTATATTGTGTAAATTGTACAAATTCATTACACATTGTATAAATTCACATTCATATCTTATATGTATTTGTATAAATTAAACAATGCTTATAAATCCTAGTCCCTGAAGATGATCTCAATAAACATGAAAACGTTGGCACGATAAAGAAAATGTTTTTCTAAACCTACATCACACCAGACTGCATATCACGATCTCTAAATAATTTTAAAAATAATGGGACAAATGAAATTTAGTTACTAAAAAAAAAATTTATCACCTAACCCTTTATACACAGAAATTACTAGGCATTTTTAAGCACATTTTAAAAGTAGCCTTTGATGAAACTCATATTTATAAAGTGGGTTAAAGGGTCAGCAAAATATTTATAATTTTGAGTGCAAGAAAAAACGACATCAAGCGAACTGGTGTTAAAATAAAAGAAAGTCACAAGAAAATAGTCCATTTAGTGGCATTGAAGGAAGATCAAACAAACCTTAGACAATTCAGGCAAGATTAAATTTTCTATGATGCAAAAAAAAAATGAAATACAACACAATAAAGCTTACGGATCCATTAAACAACCACAATAACTGTCAGAAACAAAGCACAAAAAATCTTCAAACTTAAAGACACAAGACCAGACATTTTATAAGCATCTAAAAAGGACAACTAAAAAAAAATAATAATAATAACAATAATATATTCTGAATTTGTGAAATACACTCACATGACAGGCATCAGTGGGAAATTGATCATTGGACATGATCATGCTATTTAACATACCTTGCATGCTAAAACAAAATATCTCATAATTAAAACAAGTTAAAAACTATTTTATTTGACTTATCGAATTTTTTTTTCTATGGATAAATTTATTATTGCCCAAATTGATTTTTATCCATTTTCCACATTTCATCCACTATTCATCATATGTGTTTTTAAAGGACAATCTGTTAATACAGTATCATTTTGTGAAGCTGTTGATGTTGCCTTGTGCATTTTTTTATTTTTTTATTTACAGGCAAGGCCCATTTTATTACAATAATTACAAGAAAGACAAAGAACATTTAAAATACGAAAAACATTGAAATATTAAACATTGACAATAATAAAATAATAAAAATAACAGAGTATAATTTAGATACCAATATTTGAAAACAAAAATAATATTTGGGATTTGACTAATAAATAAAAAAATTATAAATAAGATTAATTAATTATGCATACATATATACAAAATAAATAAACCCATTTGCCAATTTATTTTCTAATAATAGATGATTTTTTTTTTCATTTCAGGTTCAATTTTCTATTTTTGTTAAGTGCAGCTACCGTCAGTAGCACCGTGTTGGTCCCACCATGGGGTGATCCAACGCAAAATCCGTGCGCTTTGAAGCCAAACGGTTGGCAACTACTTTATTGGCCGGAAGATGAAAAGTGTTACAAAATTTTCCAAAAAGGATATCCATGCTCAGAAACTATGGAACTGGTACCGGGAAAGGGCGGTAAAGCCGAATGTCAATGTCCACCAGGAACGGCGCAAAGTCCACGTGATGCAATATGTCACAAAATATTTACAAAGGGACCTTGTCAAGACAATGAATATTTTGCTCCAGTCACTACAACTTCTAGGAGGTCAGGAGACAAAATAATCATATATAAATATATATATAATATATAAATAACCATACATCTAATTTTATTGAGTTACAAAAAATTGAGTTAAAATAATTTATCAACTTAAATAATGATTCGAATTACTTATCTCATTCCTAACTTTATTGTATACATAGAAAAGAAATTTCAAAAGAAAAATTTGAATAATTGCTATTGTAACAATTTAATTCAAATTGCCCTTTACATATTTGCAATTATTGATTTAACAGTGTTTTGTTCACAGCATACAACGGCATAGGTGGGGAGCTTGTTTTCAAATTGAAAACTGTGAAGCAGGCACTGTATACTGGCCCAAGGATGGAAAATGTTATCCCGAATTCACAAAAGGACCCTGCTCTGATGGTTTACTCTTGTTTTCCAAGGAAAATTTGGGTCAATGTTTATGTGACAATTCAACGATGTTACATTACTTTTGGAATCAAAGCTCTACTTGCTATGAACACTTCATTCAAGGCCCTTGCAAAAAGGGACAAATATTTCTTCCAGGAGGTACATGCGGATGTGAAAAAACCCTAAAGGAATATTATCCAGAAAATGGTCTATGCTACCCTATAGGTAATAGCAACAAATCTATTTTACACGAGTTTTATTTGGAAGATTTTATGTATAATTAAATATTTCACCTTAATTTTCAATAATTTTGTTGTTTCTTTTAATAAATATGGGCCAAAATATATAAATTAAGGTAAAATATTACTTGATATGATACATTATTTTAATGGGTAAAAAATCCATATAATTACATAAATTTTGGCACATTTAATAAAAGAAAACAAAATTATTGAAGTTTTAAAAAATGAGCAAAAAATAAAAAACGTTTTAGTGAACTAAAGATTTCAAGATGTTTAAAAAAAAAAAAATCAAGAAAAGTGATTTTCAGATGTTCAGATGATCAACCAAAAAAGGATTTCTTTAATCCACTGAGTAAATTAAGAGCTATCTAGATTTATCGCTTCCACCACAGCCTGTCATAATGAGTTGGGTAGAAGCCACCATGAAAATTTTTTCAAACATTAAGGACATCATTGCAAAATTCAAAGAAAATTCTGTACCCATAGAAAAGGCAAAAGAAATTATGGATGGACATGTGCAAAATTAGCTTTCATTTCTTCCAATATTACATTTTTTGGCAAGCACATTAATGCGACTGGAAACTCAGTACGTCTCACTCTAAGACAGCATTGCTACAATAAACGACACCTTCCAAAATTTGTAAGATATTGGTGGAAGGACAGGGGATAAAGTGAAATTAAAAATTACGGATGTGCTAAAAGAAATCCCGGACTAGACAAATCAAGAAAAATTGCTTTTATTTTGATTGGGGAAAATAGCAAAAAATAAATACCTCTTACTCCAAATGTAATTGCAACCTTTGATTGGGCCCCCATTATGTCCGCAGATGTGGAATGTTTTTTAAATTAGTTCCACCAGATCGACATAATTTTACTTTCAAAAATTTAAAAAATGTAAATTATTTCAAATAATTTGGACGATTAAAGTTTTAAATTATTATTTGATCTCTTTATTTTAAAGAAATTTTTAGCACTAGAAGGATACTTTGTTATTTACAAAAATTTAAAAATGATCATTATTTCAAATAAACTTGAAAAATAAGTTTCCTTTCTATTTTATTACCTTGATATATTCTTCTTTTTTACACATTATTCAACTAATAATAGTAAATTATAGACTTCGCTTGGAAATATATATAACTATTTTTTGTTACATATTTCTCTTTTTAGTTCCATATTTGTTCAAAAAATAAATACATATTTTTGTGCATATTTTATTTAACATATCAATCTGGTCCCTAATTATAACAACAAATTTGAATTATTTATTGTGACCACTTCAGTTGATATTTATAATATTTTAATTGGAACACCTTCGTTAATTAAATATTTTTTTAGGTTCGAATGGTCCATGTAAACAAGGACATCATTTTGTTCTGGGCAGATCTAAAAGCGACCCTAAAACTCTGTATGGAAGGTGTGCTTGTAAGGAAGGACATATACTTTGGGAGGAAGATGGAAATTGCTACAAGCCATTTACTCGCGGCCCATGTGCACCTGGTAAAATGCTAGAAATAAGTTACGAGGTAAATAATTTATAAATAGCGATCATGTTAAATAATCAAATCTTAAATTTTTAATATAACACTCGCCTTGTTTGACAAAATTTGTATAATGTGTGATGGGTCACCTCTTTAATATGGAGTTTTTGATTAATTCACATGTGCAATCTTTCTCACTTTCAATATGAACAAAATTCGAGGAGAATTAAATGCGTAGTAAAGATGGAGAGAGTACTACAGTAGTCACTTCTCGGCCTTTTGGCTAATTTCAAAGTGTAGTACTACAGTAGTAATTTGTTTTTAACAATTGTTAAATATTTGTCATCACTAGGACAATCAGGGCAGATGATAGACAAGTGTTTAACCTCTATAAATAAAACAACGTTTGAGACATAATTTGAACTAATTTTGTGAAATTAAATTGTAGATAAGTTTTGCTTTTCCATGCCATGATTTCAATGGTTGTGAAATTGTACATTGTCATTAATTACTGTAAGACCAAAAATTGTAATCTATTGCAAACTGAATTGAGAATTTTAAAATAAAGGTGGCCTACTTTTCCTTAAAGAAATTAATTTTTTTCGGACCGCGGTAGCCGAGTGGTTAGCATGAGAGACTCTCACGCCGCGTCGTGGGTTCGATTCCCACCGTCGCCTCTGGCCCTTTTTTCCCGATAACCCCCAATTTGAACACATATNAAAAAAAAAAAATTAATTAATTTTTTTAAAGGGCAAGGTTGCGATGAAATGTGTTCAGTTGCCATGTTCTGCTGGAAATCTTTATTTCCAAGGCAATAAAGGTTGTCATAAAGTAGGATCTCAGGGTCCATGCCCTCCTGGACAAGTGGTACTTTATCAAGACTCATCAGCCGAACCTCTGGACAATATTTCATATCTTGGAGTCTGTGGATGTCAAAGTAGAAAACTTGATACCAGGTAATTTTCAAGAACAAATTCTTAATAAATCATAATAATGCATTAATAAAATTAATTGTTAATTTATAAATTATACCTTTACAATTACATTACTGACAAAAATAAATTTGAGAATCAAAGTGAAAGAATGAAATACTGAATGTCTTTTTCAGGACAATTCCATTGAGAATGAGAATAAGAATGATTATCTAACTGTTTATATATGTACTATTACTAGTACCATTTTAATTGTTTTATTTATTTATTTATTTAATTAAAGTAAATTGTAATTAATTATTGATTTTTTACATTTTCAGTTCCTTTTATCCGACATATAGAGCTGAAGAGTTCTCTGAAAACGGGAAATGTGCTGAATCAAAAACCTTGACTGGATTATCATCGAATGAGTATTCCGAGTTGAGAACCACCGAAGATAATTGTGGATCAAGCCATTTATTGATTCTTTGGCATGATCAATCGTGCCAACAGCTGTATACCCAGGGCCCTTGCAACGAAGGGGAATGGGTTGTGCCCGACCGTGGTAAAGGGCAGAGGAAAGGCCGTGGTTGGAAAATGGGAAAGTGCGAATGCCGGCCTACGTACACTTTGGTCACTTCGAAAGCTGGAAAAAGCACTTGTCAACCACCATCGGTGGAATTGGCTAAATTTCTATCTTTACGATTTAAAAAATCACAAGAAATCACAAAATGAAAGCCAGAGTTTAAACTATAAGCTTTAATTAGAGATTTACTCAATATACCAAAAAAATCATAGCTTATGTTATAGCTTTTTATTTGAAATAAATTTTAAAAATACTAAATATATTAAATTATATAGAGATTGACTACAACTTGTATCATACAAATTATATTTTAACTTAGCATTTTTGCTTTAATTATAATATTTTATTGTCATGATTATTATCAGAGGAAGCCCACTAATTAAGAAACTATGAGCAGTATACGGTCAAAGAGAGACTTTTTCATAATATATAATTTTCTTTATTAATAGAAGTGGACCAATTTAAAATTATTTCTATGTGAATATTGAAACCAAAATGTACGTAGTTATTTCCTCTTTTAATCTTTTCACAAAAATAATAATAAGTTCTTTAAAATATTATTACAGCCATCTGTTTAAATTTGGTAGGCTCATAACAAATAAACAAACATGTAGTTAACCCATTTCTGATCACTTAGTCTGGACAAGATCACAAATCTCAATGTACACCTGCACATTTTGAGATTTCATTTGGTCATTGCCAATCATTCTAATCTGCCTATCCTCACTGATTTGGTCAGATGTGTTCCAGCATTTTAACATCTTCATTAGTAGGTTTGATTGTTGTTTGATATATCATTGAAATGGTTAAACATGACTAACAAAAATCAACTAGGATTTTCTGACAGATGATCAGAAATGATCAAACTAAATATGTAATTTTAGTTACCCTGTTTTTCTTTGCCTTTGTTACTATTTCATTTCATTAAATTTTTAACTTAGTGAAACTATTTTTAAATTTAAATTAATATTTATTGTTTGTATTATATGTATATACCATGAGATATTATGCTGCACTGTGATTATTATTTTTAAACAAAGTTAAACAGAAATGTGAGCAACTTTTTTTTCAACACAAAGTTGTTTTATCTATGTATATATTTCAAGATTTTACATCTTAATGAACTCTGTAATGTTTAATGGTCAAGAATATAAACTTCGTTAAATCTTGTTTTGTTTTATATAAAAAATTAAAAATAAGTAATATAATAATAATAATAATTGACTTTTTATATACCAGGTTGAGGTTAAGAGATAGGTTAGGAGGCATCCTCCAGTTCTGTCATTCAACATTCAGGCTTTAGTAGTTCTGCTATGGTGCTTATTTGAACATTTTTGCAAGCCTTTGCCTTCAATACAATCTTATTGAACTTTGGACTTTCAAATTCAAGATTGAAGTACAAATGTACATAAATGCATACATGTACAGAGTCGAACCTGTCACTTCTCGCAGTCTGCCAGCAATTCCAATGTCCACTGCCATCGAGGTTGGGTTCTAGGAGATAACAACAGCTAGGTCATTTCAGCCTTCAATGCAATCAGTTTTGAAAATTAAACTCATTCACTCTCTCACTCATTCTTAAATACTTTTTTATTTTCATACCATTCACTTAGGGTGGTGGAGTACTCGACATTCTCCACCACCCTGTACACATATTATATAACTAACCTAATTGAGGTTTGGTGGGGTATTCAAAATTCCGCCATTCTCACACTACACATTCACCTTAATCTTAATACATACAAAGAAACACAGGAGAAAGAAAAAAGAGAAATCTATTAAGTAACAAAACAGTCCTATTTATTTTAAAAATAGAAAATAGAGGTGGCATTCCTATACACTCTCTATACAGAGTCAGGAAACGGCACCTATCAGTTAACTGGTACACATCAAGCGATTTTTCTCTTCATGCCATTCATGATCAAGCATTGGCTCAAAAGTGTCCGTGAGTCAACCCCGCATGGCCTATTCTTAGTCAGGTGAAAATTACCCTTCTTCTATGAGTCAGATTATTCGAGGGCCACCTGCCGGGTGTTGGAGTGCGACAGTGCTCTTGATGTGTGAGCAATTCTCTGACAATCCGGCCCAACGATACTTCCACATTCTTTTCATCATGTTTTTTCTTGCATTTTTATCAGCCAGGGCAAATTACAAATAAAATTTCACTTGACAACTTAATTACCTACAAACATAAAAAAATGTTCTTCAGCCAGCATAAAAGACCTTAACTTCAGTTTAATTCAACCTCCCATTAGTAATAAATTTTAAAAAATATCAAGATTTATAGGTACTGCGATATTTTTGACAAGGAGAAGAGGCACAGGACTATGTTTAAAACAAAGAAACATCAAACAGTAAAATAAAATAGTCTTATTGTCTTTAAAAAAATAGACATAAAAATACAATTTTTAGTTAATAATTACAATTCTAAACTACATATACATATATATTCGATTTTGTTTAACAGAATTAACTATAAATTCATAAGCATCTCAGAGTTTGTGCTGTGGTTAACGCAATAAGATCACAGAGATGTACTGAAACTAGGTATAAAATAAATTATTTACTTGTGTGTATATTTATAATTATATATAATTGTCACCTCGCAGAGTCTTCTGCTCTAGTCCTTTCGAATTCTCTGTTCGTCAGGTCTCTTTTTAATTTAATATTTTCTTCTCTATAATTTTCACACGACCTTTGACAATCGCTGAGAGTTTTAGTCAAATGAGTTCTGTCAAAGAAAACAATTATCAATATAAATATATAATCAGTTACAAATTGAACGGGCTTACAGTTTATTTTCCAATGAGTGCACTGTTTGTTGCATTTCTTCGACTTCAAATCTCAAATCATGAGTGTAGAGGGATTTTTCCATAGCCTCCTGCCTGCTCGATGTCAAAACATCTTGAAGGTTTCTCTGGTTTCTTTGGTCCTCTGCTACACGCAACTCAAGTTTCTCTTTATCCTGTTTCAATCGATCCAAATGGCTTTCAAGCTAAAATAACAATTATATAAGTAAAACAATAGTATTTTTGCAGTTTGGCAATGCTTGCAGTTGGATTTTTGTTAAATCCTGACAAAAGTTGAGCTCTATTAGGACCACTTTAATATAATTAAGCCCATCGCAACAAGTTACTACGATTGTAGTAAAAATCGTCAATAATTTCATTTATTTATTTATCTATTATTTAAAGGCTAAATCAGAGAACAAGTTTTTTTTTTACCCAACCCACATTACATTTTTAACACCTACTGGTAAATTAATAAAACAAATATAGCAGATTACTGTTACTAAATAATTAAATTCACTAATTTCGTGGTCCGCTTGACCAATTAATATATTACAATTAATTAAGGTTTTTAGTTGAGATAAAAAAGTCAATGGCACGAGTGGGATTCGAACCCACGATCTTCAGCTAGATACGCCGCTGCTCTACCACTTGAGCTATCGTGACCTCGAACCACTCGGACACCAACTTCCCATATCAACCGCACCTTTTGAATTTTCCCTCCTTTTTGCCATTTTTCAAAATAATAATAATTGCTTGTCTAAATACAAGAACTAATGTAAATTTAATAGCTTAATAGTTACACTATCTTTAAGAAATTATTTTCTGGTGACAGTAAAATATTCTTCTGCTGTGTGGCAAGGAATATAATTTTTAAATTAATTTACTGCTTATTCTGTATGACAAAAAAAAAAAACAGGAATATATTTTACAATATTCTTTTATTTTTATTTCTTACAATATGTTAGTTTGAATTTTTTTTGTTTATGATTTCTCTCAACATGAGAAGTCACTGTCAGTGGCAATTCCTAATTCGTTGAACAATAATTCCTTTCTTTACATACCATTTTTTCATTTTCCTGAAGCTTCCAAATTTGTTCAATAAAAGTATGCTTTTGTTTTTCTAAATTACTACACAAATTTCTAGCAGCATCTAAGTCATTTGAAAGAATAATTTCACTATTATTTTTTTCCGAAAGTTTTGAATGTAATTCTTCAATTTGTGAAGTCAAATCTGTAACCTACATTTATTTAATTACGGTATCACAAAAGTTAAGTTTATTATGTACACTGATCATAGCAAATTGTTCATTACCTTTCCTTCCATCTCTTGTACTAAAGAGTTTTTGCTTCCTATTTCCCATTCTAGGTTCTGCACTCTGTCCGTTGTATCTCTTAATGTTTCCTTTGTTTTTGTTGATTCATATTCAAGACTTTGGTTATTCACTTCTAAATGGGACGCTTCTGCACTTAAAGCTTTGAATTGTTCCAATAACTCAGCTCTTTCATTTTCCTACAAAATATCAGAAAAATGATAAATATAGTAAATAACTATTATTATGAACAACAGTTATGGCGGCCAACTTTCAAATTGTCGCCAAACTCCTACTGCTAAAATATCCCATCGTTCAATGCGAGACAAATGGAAAAGGAAGAGGCTCTAAGAGGAATGGAGGGGAGTCGGGTTTTGAGCGAGAAACGGAAAGGACGAGAAGTTGCCTGGGAGAGTCTGCGCAGACAAGAAAACAAGAAGACTGTAATTCATTTTTTATATTATATGTTCAAAAAATTATATGAGCTCAGAGTTTTGGCCATAGGAGAATTCGTTTATTCTTTTATTTTGAATATAAACAAAGATTAATTTTTTTTAAATAATTAAATATCTTAGATTTTATAAGTAGGAAAGTATTTGTTCATTTTTTTATTTTTTTTATAATATAAAGAATTGTTTAATAAATAGGTTTATAGTGTAATTTATTTTATTTAATTTACCCTAACAGATACACAGTAGAATTTATTCAATGAAATATAATTTGCAAACTCAATAACTTCAAGTATACTGATTACTGGTTTATATAAGCTTTAATCTACACACACACATGAACAGACTTGAGCCATACCGCACTGTCCAAGCAATTCCAGCTTTTTAAATCTACAGTTGTTCAAGAATGGCGATGAAGTTATATACGTTTTGAGGATTAAAGTTTGTGAAATTCAAAGGTAATTGATGCGTTGAAGTGTAGAAGAAGGCCGAGGGAAGAAATCAAATTAAGACTTTCATTGGAATTTACAATAAATTATCGACAGGTAGCAAGAATCACCTAACCCAGGTGTTGGCACTCCGAGGTCATACCTCAGTTTTATCTATCCAATTTGGAGTCCAAGGGCTATCAACAGCTAGGTCATTTCATCCGCAATGCAATCAGTTCCGAAATCTATTTACTCTCACTCACTCTTAAATATTACTTATTACCTTTTACTTAGAGTAGTGGAGTATTGAATATTCTTCCATCACCCTTTACAGCCTATTATATAACTAATTTAATTGAGGTTCTATGGGGTACTGAGCATCTTGGCCATTGGCCCTTTCACGCTATACATTCACTAATAAATAATTCAGTCTCATATACACAAAGAAACAAGACAAGATATCTATAAAGTAACAACACAGTCCTGTTCCTCTAAAAATATAAAAAATATAATAAAGGAAGTGACATTCCTATACTCTCTATATGGAGCCGCGGAATGGCACCCATCAGTTAAATGGGACACGGCGAGAAACCGTTCTATCATGCCAGACAAATGTGCAGATTTTGGCTCTAAAGTGTCCACGTGTCAACCTCGCATGGCCTATTCTTAGGCGGGTGAGGATGACCCCTCTTTTATAAATTAGATCCTTCGAGGGTTACATATCAAAGTACTCTTGATGTGTGAGAGCATTTCTGCTAACCTGGCCTACCAATGCTGCCACTTTCTTTTAATCATATTTTTTCTTCCATTGTCATGGTAAATTACAAATATTTTTTTTTTTTTTTGCGTTATGATCTTTGCATATTAGCCATGGTGACAATTCTTATATGTGTGTTCAAATTGGGGGGGGGGGGTTTATCGTGAAAAAAGGGCCAGAGGCGACGGTGGGAATCAAACCCACGACCGCGGCGTGGGAGTCTCTCATGCTAACCACTCGGCTACTGCGGTCCCCTAAATAAAATTTTGCTTGATAACTTAATTACTTGCTAGCCTTAATTCTTCAGCTAGCATAAAAGACCTTAACTTCAATTTAATTCAACCTCCCATTAGCAATAAATTTAATATCCACTATAGCAAATATTTACAAATATAAACAAAATGTGGGTTAAAATAAAAAAATATCAAGATTTATAGGGATTATGATATTTTTGAAAGGGAGTATGAGGTCCTCTCAGACTACACACACTAGGGTCACGAAACTATCAGTACTATACAGAATAAAAACACTGTTTCTTCCAAAAACCGATATTGGATCAGGAGCTAGTGGAAATAGTAGTAACTAGTATAGTATAGTAACTAGTAGCTACTTATGGAAATAAGCCAAGAACTAGAATCACATAAGCCTTAGACAATATGTCACTATAGAATGTTATTGAACTGTGTCAAGGAGATTAAAAGGATAATTATTGTTAACAGAAGAGAAATAATCTAATCAGACAGCCAGGCAGCACTGAGGGCTACTACCACATCTTGGTAAAGTCCAGAGTCATTTGGGATTAGATTAGGGCACCGTCAGATTGGGGAAAAACAACAAAATTACCCTTGTCTGTGTAACAGGGCACAGAGCAGAGGAGCAATTATACCAATAAATTATAATAAGGAAAGTCCATCCCTAACCAACCCTTGTGAGGGATACAAAACTGCCAGAAATATAGATCCATCAGACAATGGATTAAAAATAGGTTCTCCATTCAATGTAACTCAGGGCAGAGACATGTGAAAAAGTTCATCAAAGACCCATCACAGAAACTAATGGCGACTACTAAATCTATGTTAGGACTAGAATAATAATTGGGCTGATACCTGGACACTGCAAAATCCTGAGGAATATAGACTCGGAGTGGCAGAAACAAGCCTGTGCAGATATTGTCAGGAGGAATAAGGGAACAGGTTTTTTGTTGGTGCAAAAATTTAAATTATTTAAGATTCCTATCCTAGAAGAAAAAAAGCCCAGGCCTGAAGAGTGAATGAGAAGCTCTAGACAACAGGAAATATATATCAATACTGGTCATGGTGCGCAGGCCATAAAGAGGCTTGTTTTCTAATTTACTCTTAATCTTACTGGCCAGAATTGAGAAGTATTTCTTCTATTATTGCAGTATGGACGTCTGTTATTAGGTGCGCTGGGGGTCTCTTCTGGCTCTTTGCAGAATCTGCATGTACCGTCCTGTTAGAATTTGAAGTCTCTTCCTGCTCCCTTTGATGCATTCTGTCGTTTCTTTCTTTAGAAATCTCACAGGTGTTTGGATTATTTGTCTCCATTGAGTGATTGCCATTATTTTCTTACTTTCACTGTTTCTTCTTTCCAAATTTACTCGTAGGTATCTTCAGGACCCTTCAGCAGTCTAGCTTCTTTCTTTGCAAGGACATCCGCTTCTTCATTCTTCTCAACAGTTTGATTTTGTTTTGCGCACCTAATCTGTTTAGTTTCAAGCTGTTATTTGAGTTTAATGCTCTGATAGCTGGCCTGGCTATCTGACATGACCTGTCTTTTCTTTTTTATTTTCTGTTTAACTTTAATTAAGAACACCTCTCAACTGCATAAATTTGGGCTTAAATAATACTGTTATACATGCCATGGGCTCTGAATATTTGGTTTTCGGGCCACTCCTGCCCTTGTACTTTCTTGCATCCTAGATCTATCTCTATAGTTTTTTCCCTTGGCTGAGGGTTTTTCCTTTGTCACTTCTTTTTTGTACTTAGGTTTACCTGTAAGTCTTGTTTGTAAAAAGCAATCAGGCAAATGTATTCAAAAATCTCTTAATTTAGACAAAATGAATGTTGGAATGTTTAGAAAAAAGCACTTATTATTTATTCATCAATGAATAATTATTTTCCAACCTTCATTTGTAAAAGTTCATCGACTCTTCTCACTTCTTCAACGTAGGTTTGCAATCTCATTTTTAAGTTTTCCACTTCCTGTTTTGAAGCTGCCAGTGCTCCAGACATTTGCATATTGTCTTGAGTAAGTGCTGCCAGATCATTCTGTAATCTCCTAAAAAATAAAAAATAAAACAAGTCATAATACAATTATCCCGAATATAGAGTAATTAACATGCGATCAAAAATTATGCAAAATTATAATTCATTACAGTTAGTTGGGCTTGATACAGTAATTTATGTTGAGTTATAAAAGAGTCTGCTTTTAAAAACTCAGAATATGTTAACACAAGATTGTAACTTGTCAACCACCCTGAGTATCACAATATGGCTAATTTTAGTGGGTAGTTAAGCCAACTATTATGATTATATACTTGTATGATGGTATCATACCTATTTTCATAAATAAGATTCTCTTTGCAGCTTTCTAAAGTGGTCAATTCTGCTTCAATTTTACGAATGTCATTATTTGAAGATCTGGCTTTACTTTCTGCAGTTGACAGCATTCTTTCAAGTGTACTGAAAATAAAAATAAAACCGGATTATATTACCACATTATTACCATTGAACTTGTCAAGGAATTAAATTCATACTGCAGCAGATATTAATGGAAATTTGTTACATACTGGACTTGTGCTTGAAGGTTTGAAATTTCTTTTTCCATATTACTAACATAGTTGTTTTTCTGCTTCATTGCCGTTTCCATTTTAGAAAGCTGAACGGCCTTTTCATCAAGAGTCGTCTGATGGATAAACAAAATTATTATAATATTTTTTTTAAGGTCTAAAGGAATATTTATAACCACCATAAGAGAGTCTTTTTCTTTATCCAAATGGTGAATATCATTTCGAAGCGAAACTTTTTCTTTTTGCATAGTTTGCAGAGCAGTCTCTAGTGCCGCTTTTTCCTTTTCTAATTGTTGAATTTTTATCATTGATGATTTTATATCTGCTACATTACTTTTCTCATTTTCTTCAGAATTTTTTATCGTCATTTCCAAATGCTCATTCAACACCCTTGAAAACAAAGAGAAAAATGTTTAATAAAAGCCAAATGAAATTAAAAAAAGTGATAAATTTATAAAAATTGCCTAAGATCATTTATGTAATAATACCATCGATTTTCTACTTGTTTTTTTGGTTTTATAGAAAAACAATTTCAGCCAGACTCAGAGAAGAACAAATGAACAAGCACAAATTTAAAAAATTGATAACAAAGGTCTTACCCCAGACTGTCAAAACCCGAAGTAGGTGATTCTCACAGCATGCCGCAGTAAGACATATGTTCAATTCTGTATATATGTGTGTGTGTATGTACATTTATATACAGAATTGAGCTGCGATAAATCAATCAATAAAAAATTATTAATATTATGAATAGTTTTCTATTGAATCTGTTTTTTAAGCTTTGCAATAAAAATCCCCTGACAATACTACAATCAACATTGATCTCAATAATATAAAACATATAATAAATAAAAAGTAGTGGCTGATTGTACGATAAAACGCTACTATTGACTTCAAATCCAAATTCCAAGCAAAAACCTTTACAAAATGAAAAACATATTTTAATAAATTTGAGTACGATGATGGGTTTTGGCCTGCGATTCGCTGAACCTATGTTGAACCGGCACAGGGCCACCTATTGGGTCTGTCTCCATTTGCGAATTTTTGAGTTATTCATAAACGCGTTTCGGCATCACTGGAGATGGTGCAATGTCGAAACACATTTGTGAATAACTCAAAAACCCTCGAGTGGAGACAAACCCAGTAAGTGACCCTGTGCTGGTTCAACATAAAATTTGAGTACGTAATACACTCTAGCATTAATGACTGTATGGATTGATTGTTTTCTATCATCCTGATATGCCTATTTTCACTTTAAAAAAAAAATTCAGGATGGCAATCATGTTACTACTGCTAAGCCTTAAATTAGTTCATTATTTAAATTTACAAAATGCTTTTGAAGCGGTTGCCTCCGACACTTTACATTACATTACCCATGGGTACAAAACATTGAAAAGAAGCCAAAAATGATATAATTCTATAATTCGCAAAAAATTACTAGTATGTAACCCTGCCACTGCCACTAGTTGTTGGTTCCCAAATTTTTTCCTTCCTTGAAATGTGCAAATTGGAACACATTGTTAATTCATTTTGTTTTACACCTTGTTCTCTCTCTTAACAGTGGTGAAATTTTGTATTTTATCAATTAACAAATTGGGGTTTTATAAGGAAGTTTCACCGCAACTGGTAGCTGGCACCATAAAAATTGGTGGCCAGAGGGAGATGGAGGAAGGTGTGCGGTATTGTCTCCTTCTTCTGGCCACCAAAAGATTGATAAGATATAAAATAAAAAGCTAGTTGTTGAGCAAGAGAGAACAATCAACCTTTTAAGTAACTATTTATTACCATTTTAAATTTTATTTATAATTTTTTAATTATTATTGATTTTGAAAAGTTTTAGTAAAGTTAGTCTCACCCCATTAATTTTAATTTTGATTTATTGAATTCTAACATTATCCAACATATTTTTAGTTCAATAAAGACTTCAATAATTTCTTTGGTTTCTGCCTTTAAATTTGCATACTGGTAAAGGTCACATTAATATATTAAAAAATTATTTATTTTATTTAAGAAGTTTTAGTATTTCTTTATTTATTTTTATGATGGTTCGCAACAGCAATCATATCAGGTACAAATGCAGGGCTGCTGGTTTCGAACCGAATAACCTTACAGTGATGAGCGCAGTGTCAACAGCTAAAGCGTTGCGGCCAACGAACCCTCCCCCTATTTAAGTTTTATTTTGGGCCTTGATAGTAATTTTGTAGGGCAACAACAAAGTTCATCACACCATAACAAAATTAAGGAAGACTATTTTAAACAAAAATAAAATAATTAACCTCGCAGCTGGAAAATTAACTTAACGCTTATAAATTATGCAAACTTACTTGATATGATTGTACTTTGCTTTCCAGTTGGCACTATCAGTCGTCAATTCGTCAACCTCATGTCTTAATTTGTCAATTTGGTGTTCTGCCATTTGTAATTTAGAGTTCAAGCTACTTATCTTATCGCTTAAACTTTTCTTTTCTAGCTCATAGCTTTTAATTTTATCTTCTAGTTGCAATTTAATTACTTCGTTGTTACATTTCTCGCTGTGCATTGCTTGCGATAAACCCTACAAATTAATATTACACTACATTTTTTAAATATGGTGATAAACGTTTATAAAATACTGTTAATATTTTAATATAATTTAAACTTAACAACATTAATTATTTTTTCCAAATGACTCATATCTTGTGAAACACTTAAAATGAGAAATGAATACACCAATGAGGAAGTGTAGTGCCATTAGAGTCAGTAAAAGTAATAATAAAATAATAAATATAAAATAAATTATTCAATACTTACAGCAAGTTTGTTCTTATAATCGATTAACTCATCCTGCAGTTTGTTCAGTTCATCAGTGGCTCGTGCTTTCTCTTTGTTTAATATTTTAAGCACATTCTAAAAACATGCAAAGTAATGAAAATAAGTGATGAACACAATAAAAATAATTTAAAGTCTATATATCAACCTTGTGAGAACAAAGAGGATGATCGCTTTCTGAACCTTCGAATTTATATTCATTTTCATGTGTATATTTATGATCACAACAACAACCACAGGAACACTAAAACACAAACAGTTTAAATAAAACAACAAGCATGGAAAATAAATATACTTTTTTCTTTGATCATTATGTCTGATAGTTATAAAAAATTGCAGTGAAATTCCTCTACAGCTACACCTTCTCTTAAAAGACAGTCACTATTAGAGTATTTGACCCCGCTAGAATGGACATAACCAGTAATAATATATGTGGTGTTTAGTGACTGTTAGTTAATAATTATTTGGAGATCATGAGATGCGGTCTGGTGAGACGTAGGTTTTAGAAAAAACATTTTCTTTATCGTGCCAACGTTTCGATATTTATTGAGATCATCTTCAGGGCCTGGGATTTATAAACATTGTTTTAATTTTACAAATACATCTAGGGTGTGAAAAAAGTGAATTTTTACAATGTTAGAAATTTTAGACTCAATCAAAGTATTAGTACTTACTCAAAGTGTTTGTTTTCTAGGTAGATACATTATTGTGGATCGTGTTGAGAGTGCCAGTGAGATATTGATGTTTTATGTTTATATACGTTGGATTTTAAAGAGGTGGGGAAAGAAGTCGGGATAGAAAGACATTTTTACATGAGGAGTCGGCTTCTTTGAGGTAAAAGGAGCCGACAATGGGAAAGAATGGGCAGTGGTTCGGATTAATTATCCTGTCAGGATTATATAGATGGGATAATTAGGGAAAGGAAAGCCAAATTGTTGAAGAATTAGACTATGTACAAATGTTTGATGTGTGGAATGTGATGATTGGTTTATATGTTTTGTGTGATGTGATGATGATATATGTATGTTATGATATTAATGTTTTATGTCTATATACGTTGGATTTTGAAGTGGTGGGGAAGGAAGTCAGGATAGAAAGACATTTTTGTATGAAGAGTCTGCTTCTTTGAAGTGAAAGGAGCCGACAATGGGAAAAAATGGGTAATGGTTTGGCCTGATTATCCTTTCAGGATTATACAGACGGGGACAATTAGGGAAAGGAAAGCCAAATTGTTGAAGAATTAGACTGTGTAGAAATGTTTTTAGCTACAACTGAGTCATGTGTCTGTTCTGTAATTGATGCTGTGTTTATCGCTGTTGATGTAAACCATTTCTAAAAAGTTATGTTTGTTTTGTTCTGTGTGAAATTAATTACACCATCCATTTACATTTTAGTGGTCAATTGACCAAGTTACTTTTTTCAATTAATTATTCTCTTTATGTAAGGTCTTGGTTGAGATAAATAAGTCAGTGCCATAAATGGAATAATATTTAATAATAATTAATATAATTATATTTAATAAAGAAGTATCACTTCACTAAACAGCTCCCCGTGGCCACTTCATAAGTCGCTGAGAATCGAATCCTGATTACACGACATTTGAAAATGGCAAAAAGAGAGAAAATTCGAAATTGTAGGTTGAGATGGAAAGTTGGTGTCTGAGAGGATCGAAGTCACGATAGCTCAAGTGGTAGAGCAGTGGCGTATTTAGCCGAAGGCTGTGGGTTTGAATCCCGCTTGAGACACTTTTTATCTCAACCACGACCTTACATAGAAAGAATAATTAATTGAAATAATATCAAGGTTATTTATGAAAAAAATATACTGCCCTAGATGGGCATTAGCTTTTCAGGCTCCTGCATTCAACATTTTAATAACGTTTAACTTCAATATATTGCATTATTTACCTCTCTGTGATTTTGCTGTTGGACTACTTGTTTTTTAGGTTTGGCATGCTTTTGTTGGCACTCCTTGAAATTAGCATCTTCAGTACCTACAACATTTTATTATATTTTGTACAAATAGCTAATTTATACCCTTAAAATAAATGAAAAATATCCATAACCTTAAATAAGTACATATATTTTACCTGAAAGTTGAATTTGTTTTAATCTATTGTTTAAACTGTGATTCTCCGACAGAAGAGAACTGCATTTCTCCTCTAAACTGGTATTTTTATATCTGAGTTCTTCAATTTGTTCTTTTAAACTTGACTTTTCCATTTCCATAATTTTTAAGTCTTCCAAATGTTTTGAACAGTCCCTCTTTGAAATAAAACTTTAGTATGACGAAATATACTAACTCGTCTCATGTTGAAATTGTTCTTACCTTTTCTTTCGTTTGTTCAGAACTGTTATATTCTCTTTGAATATTCCGAGCCTCCAAATGGACTAATTTATTTTCTAGAACTTTTACTCGATCCATTAAATCTGTTGCTCTTTTCATCGCTTGATGCTGCTTTAAAGTGGCCTCTACACAGATGATATACTTTGTTGTAAAATTAAATATTAAAAAATGTTTACTATTTTTTACATTAATTCTAAAAATCATCATGCTTACCTTCCAATTGTTTTTTCAGTAAAACTGGGCTGTTGTCACCAAGCAGTGATAAGTCTTGATCTTCAAAACAATGACAATTGCATGTAGAATGGTGGTACACAATTGGAGAAGCTCTTTTCTCAACTATTTTACTGAGACGTTCAATTTCCCTGTCTCTTGATTTCACCTTAGTAAATAAAAATATTTAAAAAGATTACAGTTTAGAAAAAGACAAGTTTAATTGAGATGTTACAAAAATGTGGGCTAATTAACAATCTCAATTGGTTTTTCTTATAAATCTACTATAAAATTTATTTTACTCATTAAACTGAAATAACTAAACAAACAAGGCTTTTACTCCAAAGGGTTGTCAGTCCCAAATGTGCTGACTCTACGGTATGTCTATACATTAGTGGAGTTACCTATTAACCTACATTATGCACCTGAGTCGCTTGTATCCCTTAAGCCAATTACTCATGAGATCATCGCTTCCCACCCAATGGGGTTAGGCTCCAGGAACTTTCGACACTGAGGTCATTTCAGCCCCCAATGCATGCAAAATATAATCTAGCCTAAAACTAACTAACATCTACAATACAATCGCAGGGTATGAAAGGGTACTGCATCTCTAATAACCTCTAATACTCTCTATACTAATACATCTCCGACTTCCACCTTCAAGAAGCTCATGCAGGTGTACCCTGTTTATCAAACAGACTGACAGAGGGGTTCAGAGGAATGGGAGCTGGACCTTCACCGTCTAAACCCTACGCCCAACACTTTACCCCTCTTCCTACCCCAATCCCAACCCTAATCTCACAATACAGCTCCAATCTAAGGTTTTATGCGACCTGTGCCAATGTAAATATAAATCCAATTTTTCTTGTACAAAAATAGCACAGCTGAGATTATTGTGACGATTAAATAAAAATCTACACAGCACTATGCATTGCACTTTTGACAATTAAAATACATATGCCTAAATTTATATTTGAATACTCTCAAAAGTACAAGTATATAAATTCAATTACAAATACTTAGAAATTTTAATTGTATGTACATAATTATGTTATTATATGGAAAATATATTGACTAACCTGATTTTGACAAAGTTCCACCTCGTCCATTAAATGGCAGTTATCCCTTTTAAGTTTTTCCAATTCATCGAGACCCTCAGACCTTGATTTTCCATCCAAAACATTTGAAATGTAATTATTTACCGATGTTACAGTTCTTAAGTTGGCCCTCAGTTTCTTTTGTAATTCCCTTTGTTTTAGTTGTTTTTTCGGGGAAGGTTGGTTATAGTTTTTGCCAATAGTTGGATTTATAAGACCTGAAAATAAGATAAACTAATTTGATATGTCGATTTTTGAAAATTCAGTCGACATAATTTTGAGTCATCAAAAATGGCACTATACTGAAACAAAATTAAAAATTTTAAAAGAACCTGCACTGTTCCTTGAAGTATTATCTAACGTTAGCAATTTTTCATTCTTAAGCAAAATGTCTTGATGTAGTTCTCCAACATTTGTCAGTTGCTCCATATAGGCAAACTCCAAATCTGAATAAGCATTTTCTGTTTCAATAAGTTGGGATTTTAATTCTGGAACAAAACACAGAATGTATTATTATATATTATTTATTGAATATGTAAAAATCAGAGGATTATAATTATATTTTATTTGATATGTTTAATTATGGTTTAAGGACTTTATTAATGTATTTTACTGTTTATGGATTTTTCCGCTTCGTCTCTTTGCTTTAAAATTGTGTGATGCAGCTCATTATTTTCTCTGATTAATCTTTCATTGTCTCTTTTATAAGGCAGTAAGGTCAACTCGAGTGAATCACATTTCTGTAAATAAAAAAACATTCAACATTTTGTTAAATAAAAATGCATGCATAAACTGAATTTAAACGTATGAAATGAAATAATTTCCTTAGAACGATTATGAAAATGAATTATCAACCCATAAAGTATATGATAATATAAGGGTCAACAGACTGTATGAATTAAAGCTGTCGCCAAATCTATGATGTCATCCTCAGGACCTAGTTTATTTATATAATTTGTTATGAATAATTTAAAATATATTTTCATGTATATTAGTAAATAAACAAGCCCTGAGCTGTTATTGACAACAACAGCAACATCTGCTGTCATACAGATGAAAGCTTATAGCGATAACTTTTAATTGGTCAGTACTGTTGCCCTTCATCATCATCATCATCACTTTCTTACAAGTGTAGCTTTTCCATAACTAAAGAGTAATATTGCTATATAACTTTGTCTTTAATTTTTAAAAAGTTTTTCAGACAGCAGATATTTTCCCTGCTTTATCTACCTCTGACAGATAAATAGGAAGTCTATGACAAATTGAACAATGGCATTCCGTAAGGAAAAATATTTTTCTTCGTCTGTATTTTCACACAATGAAATAAGTTAACATTTTGTCATTACAACCACACTCAAAGAATCAGTACAATAATACTCACATAATCACTACAACAATACTCACATAATTAGTACAACAATACTCAAAGAATCAGTATAACAATACTCACGTAATCACTACAATACTCAGAGGACCAGTAGAACAACACTCAATGAATAAGTACACCAATACTCACATAATCAGTACAATACTTTTAGAATCAATGCAACAATACTCAAAGAACCAGTACATCAATATTCATAGAACCATTTCAACAATACTCCAAAGACCAGTACATCAATAATCAGCACAACATCCACAAAATATTGGTATAATACTCAAAGAATCAGTACACCAACACTCACACAATCAGCACAACATCCACAAAAAATCGGTACAATTCTAAAAAAAAATGTACACCAACACTCACAATCAGCACAACATCCACAAAAAATCAGTACTATTCTAAAAAAAAATGTACACCAACACTCACATAATCAGCACAACATCCACAAAAAATCGGTACAATACTCAAAGATTCAGTATACCAATACTCACATATGTGTCTTATTTAGCGATATAAGAACACCAGAATGCAAATTCATGTTTAACAATAATTTCACATGAAACAAACATGACACCAAAAGGAGAGCACCACACTTATTTGAGGATGAAATCCATGGCTCAAATTTTATATTATTTACAAATGTATTTTATAATTATTTTTTCCAATCAATTTAACAATATTTTGTAATGAATCAGACCGGAATAAGGTCAAAGCAACAAAAAAATGAAAAATGTGTTTTTCTAAAATACTTCATTCCTGACCGCTCCTCATTACTTCAACAAATACTCACAAAATCACTACACCAATACTTGGAGGACTAGTAGAACTATACTGAATGAATCAGTTCACCATACTCACATAGACAGTATGAAAATACTCAGAGAATCAGTAGAACAATAACACTCAAAGAACCAGTATGACAATGAATCAGGACACCATACTCACATAATCACCATAAAAATACTCAAAGAACTAGTGGGACAATACTCAAAGAATCAGGACACCATATTCACATAATCACTATAAAAATACTCAAAGAATCAGAACACCATACTCACAAAATCACTACAAAAATACTTAAAGAACTAGTAGAACAATATCAAAGAATTAGTACACAATACTCACACAATCACTATAAAAATACTCAAAGAATCAGTACACCATACTCACATAATCACTATAAAAATACTCAAAGCACTAGTAGAACAATATCAAAGAATTAGTACACAATACTCACACAATCACTATAAAAATACTCGAAGAATCAGTACACCAATACTCACATAATCACTATAAAAATACTCAAAGAACTAGTAGAACAATATCAAAGAATTAGTACACAATACTCACACAATCACTATAAAAATACTCAAAGAATCAGTACACCAATACTCACATAATCACTATAAAAATACTCAAAGAACTAGTGGAACAATACTCAAAGAATCAGGACACCATACTCACATAATCACTATAAAAATACTCAAAGAATCAGTATACCAATACTTACAGAATTCGCCTTGATAGCTGAATTTTTGTAATGGTCCAACTGTTTTTTGAACGAATCCAAATCGTACAAAAGTTTTTCAACCAATAAAACTGAGTCAACAGAAAGAGGCTGACTATAACCGAGTCGATCCAATTTCTCCCTTAGATTTAAAAACTTTTTTTCTTTCAAACCCATGGTGGCAATATGAAGCGATGGTTTAGGGCAACTTTAACATAGGAATTGATTGTTTTTCTTGTACACCTCGACCAGGAAAGGATAAATCGAAAGTTTCCATTTGAATTAAAAAAAACGTTACAAAAACAACGCCAGGCCTTACTTGGAAGGTAACGGCGTTGAAACTCGAAAGGTTGACAGGATAATCGATTGGGAATGATAAGTTGGAAAGGAGAGAATGAGGAAAACATTCGGATAAAGGATGTAAATTGTAAACAGTAAAGACACTCTTCATATAAGAATGGATATCAATGAAAAGTGAAACGAAATAATTCTCTAAGAAACTTTTGTTATCAAAATCTTTATTAAATGTCTAATATACTTCTGGAAGAGTTTCGTCTCAATGAACCGCGACTATACAGAAGACTGGTGATGGAGCTTTCGTTAAAAGAAAGGTGGAAGAATGTTTTGAAAGCGCTCAGTATGAGCAGGTATTAAATTTCAAATTTTGGACGTTTATCATTTTATTTATTGAGCCTCGGACAAGCAACTTTCAACAGCCATAAACGAAAGATGTTGCTTTATGTTGGAAATATATGTATTCAAGTAACAACATATTAATAAGGACCGTGACCTGTAGGATTGTTGATTTTACACTGAATTTTCTTTCAGCTTTGAACCATTGACAATGCATCTGTAAAAACTTATTTTTTTACTATTCTTGAGTTTTTTTAAGACTTCTGTGTCCAGTACAACCTAACCAGATCTATTAAAAATTGACCCTTTTCAATTTTCCAAGATAATTTCTTTAAGAGTTTCATTTCGAAAGAGGCAGTACTGTATTCTAGCTAAGGCTTCATTGTCAGGTCACTGAGCTAGTATATGTACCAACTTTGCCTATTTTTGAAGGTGTTAAAGCAGAACAGCCAGTTTACAGGCTTTCTTTCGATGTTCCTCAACTATTTTTTCCCTATACTAGCTTGGAGCTGTATCAGTATGCCCTCACTCCAGCTAAAGTATTACAAACACTAACTTCTCTTTTTTTGTACCATATTATTTAGTACATATTACAAATGTGATCACAAAACTTTTTTTCTCTCAAGATTACTGCCAGTGCTGCACCCAGATGCCATGAGAAACCAACCGATGTTGGCACTCAGTGTGAAGGATTAAAGGGAAAGAAAGGTCTCCAGACCATCGTCGATTAAGGCGAAGTGGCGGGTTCTCAGAATGCGAATGTGCAAAGAGGGCTCGAGCAATAGAGTTGGGTCGAATCGAGAGGTTGATGACATAAAATAACAGCATGGATAAAAACCTTCTGCCGGAGGTTGAAGCCACAACCATCAAAAATATAAAAATAAAATAATAATAATAATACAATTATACTAATTTAAAAAAGAAAAAGACTGTTGATCATAATTGAATTACCTAATTAGATAATGATGATACGACCAAGCCTGTCGTGCGAATCTGATCAATTGCAAACTGTTCCTGCCATTAAGGAATTCAATTGTCTGGGTTCTGCTGAGCCTGCTGTGACCTGTATGGGGATCTAAATTCCGAGAGGATGGGACATAAACCCAAGGAATGGATCACATCCTCCCTTTCTCTGAGATTACAAAGAGCACAGAGGGATAACTCTTTTTCACCACAGAGTGTAGTTAAGCAACTCGCTTCTTAATTTAAAAAGCCGGCTCAGCTCCATGGGTGAAAGTTCTGTATTTTTTTAATTAACGGACAGCCACGTATGGGAGGTACTGCAGATCTTTATATAAAAGAAAACGGTTAGACTGTCGAGCTGACTGCACACACTCTTCCTAGTAACATTCATCAATCCTTTGACGTATGACCATCAACTGGGCACACCATTTATCCCGATCCTGGAAGTTAGAGTCAAAAGGGCATGAGTACTTTTCCGCCAAATTAACCCAGTGCTTAAACCAGAATGTTTTTTTCTTGATAACATCAAAGGCTAGAGAATGAGAAAGGCAGTGAGCAGGCAGAGCCAAAGTCTTGATACAGTATCTAACCTGGAGACCGAAGGTGAAAACATGAACCAGAGAGGTTGACGTCTCAATAGAAACCATGTAATTTGGTGTTATGAGGGGGAGCCCAAACAACTTCTTGATAAAGAAACGTTGACATTTTTCCACAAACTCCTATCGTTGAAACCCCCAACACTGGGCACCATATAACACAATTGAATGGCAAACTGCTTTGAATAAATTATATTTGATGGAAGGAGGGGCTTTACTGTTAATAATGAGGGCTTTCCAAAAACAATTTAGCCAATGATATCATCTCTCCGTAAAATGCAGAGTCATGGAAAGATGGGGTCAGGGTAATACTCACATATTTGTAATGGTTAACGACTTCAATAGGGTTGCCTTTATATTTCCATTTCTCATTAGCAGCAAGAAGACCTCCTTTTCTGAACACCATGATCTTATACTTATTTAAATAGACTGTCATATTCCATAGATCACAATAACGTTCTAGGAGATTTATGTTGTTCTGAAGAGTAAGCGGGTCTTCAGCCAGAAGAAGCACATCATCACCTTACAACTGTTTCTGCCACTCTGACACCTCCCGCAAGTGTTGCAGGAATGTCGTCAAGAAAGTCCTCCTCTTTTTGCACCAGATAAGCTCAAGGTGTTCTTAGATGACAAACTTAAGTTCATTTGTAGTAATGATGATTCAATAACTCACAACAATTCTTGTGTATTTGAATGACCATAGTGCATTAACTTACAAGATTTTTTAATTTGGTCTTTACCGATGTAAATTTTATATAAAACCCATATAATTGCTTGTAATGATGAAGGCATTAAATAAGCTGAAAGCTTGACTACAATTTTTTGAGGTTTCTTTGATGGCCTCTTCACTCCACAATATTCGTACAATATATATATAACAAATTCAGGATACATCACCCTACAGACCACAGCCAAATTACAACTCGTTTTGTACGAAATTTTTAACCCAACACTTCTGATTGTCTTGCATGTTAGTACTTTTTTTTCTTTTTTGTAATACTTATGCTTAATTACTTTTTTTCACATCGTATTTTCTGTACATGTTGCAGGAGTTTGCATTTATTATTATTACTAGGCTATATATTTAATCTAAGCAATTTCACTTTGTGAATGGGACTGAATGTAAAATGTAATGCTTGCAAGAGGATGGAGGAATCTTGTGTTTAATATGGTTTCAAATAGCCCCAGAGCCCCTGGCCTAGCCCCAAAAGTAGACCTGTTCTTCTATAGTTTGTATTGGTTGTATTTGATTTAAAATTGATCAGAGATGCCCTATCATGAATTCAAAGAGCCAGAATTGCTTGGGGGAGGTGCACAACGCTGTGGATTAAACCTCACAATGACCCTATAGCTCTACACCTGTGTTTTAAGCCCAATGTCGACGTATGGGTCGGTGGTGTGGTGGACCAAGACTTTGCAGTCAAAAGCGATCAGGCTATTAAGTGGCACTCAAAGACAAACTTTCCTCAGTGTCACTGGAGCCATCTTCAAGAATAAGCCATGTCAATGAACAATGGAAACTGAGGGATGATATACAGGCAGATGCTATACTAAGCATGCCAACCGATGCCATTACTTCAAATTATAATTTTATCAAGTACAAGGCAATTTCCAGTGGTATATTGACGGCTCAAAAACTGATAAAGGAATGGGAGCTGGAGTCTTCAGGATGAATCCAAAGACTGAACTGACTTTAAACTTAAGTAAATACGCTACAGTTTTCGAGTCTGAAATCATAGCAATTGCACACTGTACCAGAGAAATAAAAAACTAGGAACATATTCCAGGAATATAGCCATTTTCTCTGAAGAAAGGGTGGCACTTAAGGCCCTTAGCCTCATGTGTAAAGGCTAAAAGCATAACGAATTGTACGGAATCCCTGGTGGAAATCAATGACACTGGCATGGGTACCTGAAAATTTCGAACATAGGGGCAATGGGGAAAGTGAGAATGTTGGCCAAAAAAAGGAGCCAGTGTGAATTCTAGGCCCTGAACCCTAGTCGTCTAGCATCTTGACACAAAAAAGACATCCAAAAAACGGATCCTTATTGAGTCCAAATAGTGGTGGAATAATACCCAACCATGAAGCATGTGAAGAGGTTCAAAGGGCCATCTGCCAGACTTACAAAGGAATTACTGAAAGTTAACCACAACAAAACCAGGGTTCTAGGTGAGGTGCAGATTCTTGCAACTAGGAGAGGAAAAGCTCCAAGCAAGAGTCTACACTAAGGAGTCACTGGCAAGGTTGTGGAAGTTCTTCAACAACCTGAAGTTGGCCATTAATTATAAAAATAGAGGAGCACACTACTTTGCATTATTAGGTCAAGGTGCAGAAGGCCCTGTTGCTGCCTCTCTTATCCCTATCATGAACTAAAGTTTTCTTAAGATAGAGATCTCCTATCTGTACCTATCCTAAAAATAGGAGGGTGGGCTGAGTGGTTAAGGCATCTGACTCGTATTTGCCATGCTAGCAGTTCTTGGTCCAATCCCAGAATAGCCCTTGGCTTTGTTTATTGAGAAAAATATGAAACTAGTATTGTAAAGTGGGTTGACCTATCCATGACATCCAAAAAGTAGTTACATTAGTATTTAGTGACATTAAGTCTTGCTGTCAGGTATTCACGTATTACATGAATTACATAGTAACATATATTACATAGTTACTTCTTTACAGAGATAAAGGAATAAAAATTATTTTTTCAAATCAATAATATTGCAATTTTGCTTTTTGATTTGATTAATTAATAGATTTTTTGTTCCAGAAAACCACTTATATTCAGTAAAGATAAGGAAAGCAAAATGGAATTGTCCCAAAAGCCTGGGGAGTTTTTATTAAATGAGCTAATTGCCCGTCAGTTTACCCTTTCGTATTTTTCCGAAATTTTACTGAGCTGTAATGAATTAGAAATTCTCTCCTGTATAACTACAACACCAGGTAGGTTTTAAAATTCATCTCATACAGTCTACATAATTTTTCTGTCAGTTGTGGTTGGGAAATTTGCCATATTTTGTGGTATGATATCTCATCAACCACATATTGCTGCAGTGTAATATGATTGTTTCCAGAACCTCTAAAAATAATTGTCCAACCTGGTGCACACAACAGTGAGATTAATTTGTTTTTTGGAGATGAACTCAAATTGGAGTGTCGAGCGACAAAAATTCCTCCTCCAAAATATCAATGGTACCATAATAACATTCCTATAGACTGTACAGGACCTGTTTTTCTAATAGAATCATTTGAGTAAGTTTTATACAACCAAAACTTTTTTTTCTGATCGATCAACATCATACATACTTATTTTAGACCAAAACACGAAGGATACTATTTCTGCATCGCCAGCCGTTATTCTGATTGTAGTAATTTCCAGTCTGTCCAGTCAGACACAGTCATATGCAAATTTATTGACCGTTTACCCGAGTTTGAGTATGTAAGACCTGGGATGGAAATTTATAAAGAAATAGGTTCCAGAGTGACATTATCTGTTGGTATAAAATCAAATAGAGAGTGTAAACTACAATGGATTAAAAACAATGAAGTCATAAAAAATGGAAATAGCAATGAACTACTAGTAAGTGTTACGTTTTCACCCAGTATTTTATTTTACATATAATGACTACCCATTCCATGCTAAATTTTATTTTATTGAATTAGTACCGCTATCTTTCCAACATTATTGAAGATGAATGTTGCATTTTTTTTTCTTATTCCTTGACATTGATTTGATTCCTATCACCTATACTATAAATTTTAAAACTGAAAATGGCGTGCTGACTATATATGGCAGTAATAAGGCCCAATCCTACGACAGCAAATAAAGACTGGCAAATTTGTGTATCATAAGGGCAATGAAAACAACACCGTCAAATGCACTAGAAGCACTGCAATGTACCTCCATTAGAAATTTATATAAGAGAAGTGAGGAAATGCTCATTTAGGGTCCAGAAACAATCAAATTGGATGGAAACTAAACACTTCAGGAGCCAATAATAATTAATAAAATCAGACATCCATTCTTAGAAATGGGGATTGACTGCATGCTCGTGAAAACACCATGTACAGCATCTTCTCTGCGTCTCAACAGGCTACAAAGGAAAAGAAGAATTATATTATCTATAATATCTAGTAATATAATATCCAATTATATTATTGTCATCAGATACAATGATATGGTATAGAAATGGCTCCAAAACAAATGAAGGAACCGGATTGTGTTTTTTGTACAAGAAACTATGAGCAATCAATTGCTGTATGTTTGTTTTTGATAGGCCCTTACCTAACAAAAACAAACACTGAATGGATCCAAAAAAGGCAAAAGGAGAAGTGTATAAACTCTAGAGGTGCTAGACACAGTAAGCTTACGTTAAACCAACCATCTCCAAGATGCACACTCACTGCTGCTGAAACGTGTGGTGTTTACTGAATGTTAGTTAATGATTATTTGGAGATCATGAGATGCGTTCTGGTGTGACGTAGGTTTTAGAAAAACATTTTCTTTATCGTGCCAACGTTTCGATTTTTATTGAGATCATCTTCAGGGTCTGGGATTTATAAACATTATTTAAACTATACAAATACATTTATACAATGCTAGAAATTCATTTCTTCACATCCTACATGTATTTGTATAATTTAAACAATGTTTATAAATCCCAGGCCCTGAAGATGATCTCAATAAAAATCGAAACGTTGGCACGATAAAGCAAATGTTTTTCTAAAACCTACGTCACATCATACTGCATCTCACAATCTCCAAATAATCACTGCTACAGTTTGAGAAGGCTAAATTCAGAGGAGTGATAGGACTATTGACCGATCACGGGCATGTGATAAAACATATACACAAAATGTGCATATTCAATGATGACCCCATTTGTAGATTATCCAATGGGAGGAAGAAACAGCTACACATAAAATCTTTGAATGTGAAGCAACCATTCAATGGAGGCATAACCTGGGATACACAGAAAACCCAGGGAAAGGAATTGCAGCAATGACAATCAATGACCTAGTACTTCTTAAGAAAAAGCAATTCCACTGAACTAAGGAAATAGAACAGTACTATAATCTAAATGGCTGCAGTGCTTGGAGAAGAAATCCCCCCCACTTCCTAGTATCTATCATCATCATTCTACTACTGTAAATAAGGGTAATTTGGTCATTACCAATCATTTTGGTCTGGTTATCCTTGCTTGATTGGACTGTCACATGTATTTCTGCATTTTGCCATCTTCAGTGGTGAACCTTGCAAATCTCTGTCTGCACAATAAAGATGATGAAATGCAGCAAAGAGCCTTGCAGACCAACCCAGTGAGTTTAACCAGGCCAAAATGATTGGTAATGACCAAATTACAGATTAAACTCCCCACATATCACACAAAATCTTACTATAAATCAAGGTGTCAAAAACATTATTTAAAAATAAAAAATCAATTAGTTGCCAACAACCTTATGTGTTGTTTTAGATTAACAACCTTAAGGACACAGATTTTGGTGAATACTATTGCGTTGCCAGCAATATCGCGGGGGAAGTTTACTCTCAAAAAATAACTTTAAAAGTATGTTAATATTTTACTACATAATGTTAATCAACTTTAATAATTTTTTAAAGTAATATTATTTTTAAATTTGCAGTTGCTTAGCACCAAGGAGAAACCTCGTAAGTTATTAATAATATTATTTTAATTTACTTTATGTGTGTGCAAGCTTAACGTAGTCAGGGGGTGGGGGTGTTGGTAGCCGCAACAATTTAGGGGTTGATATGTAGTTCATCACTGTAAGGTAAAGATCCCAGGTTTGAATTCCGGCCACCCTGCATTCGAACCTGACATACTTATAGATGGGCTTTTTCAAGAAGTGCATCCTAAAACAGATGAAGTAATTTTCTAGGAAATCTTTCTACTTTTGCTTTGGCAGAATAAATGTTATGGAGGATTAAAAAATTAAATTATTTCTCTGTTATTCCAGAGTGGAGTGCATATGTTTTGTTCATGTTAAACCACACTTAATGAGGTAGCTGAGTGGTTAGTGTGAAAGACTCTCGGCTCGTAGACCCTGAGATCATGGATTCGATTCCCACTGTCACCTCTGGCCTTTTTTTCCATGATAACCCCCCCCCCCCCAAGCATACACATAATAAACTGTCTCCTTGGCTAATATGCATCAATAATAAAAAATAAAAAAATAAAAAAAAATAAAAAAAACAGTACTTACTTATTTTTTGTTTTTCAGCATCATCTAAAGTTGCTTTACTCATAGCAAATGAAAAGTATGAAAATTACAAATATTTGGTTACGCCTTGTAATGATATTATACTTCTGGCCAAAATATTGAAGCAATTAAATTATCATGTAGTAGCTTTGATGAACTTGAACCTAATTGAAATGCAAAATATAATCAACTGGTTTTTTGACATGCTACCGGCTGGAGCTGACGGTAATTACACATTTATAAAATCGTAGTTTTATAATTGGATTAATAATAATGAAAATTATTGCATTTGTTGTTTTACAAGTCACACTTTACTGCTAAAAATATGTAATGTTACATTTATTACAGCATTCTTTTGTTTTGTTGGCCATGGATTTCAGTTATCCGATAACAAATTTATGATGCCGATCGACTCACCAAGTACTATCAAAATGGTGGATTGTATATGCGATCAAATGTTAATTATGAAAGCCAAAACTAATAAATTGCGTCTGCTAGTATTAATGATGGACATGTGCCTGGAAATACCAAAAAGGTAAATTCTGTTGATGTATAAATTCTCTATTTTATCTCGAAGTGATTGATATCAGCCTTAATACTATTATTCGGAGATCGTGAGATGCGGTCTGGTGTGACGTAGGCTTTAGAAAAAGATTTTCTTTATCGTGCCAACATGTCGGATCTTTATTGAGATCATCTTCAGGGCCTGGGATTTACAAACATTGTTTAAATTTAACAAATACGTGTAGGATGTGGAAAAAAACGTGAATTTATACAATGCAAACAAATATTTTTTTGCCTTGTATAAATTCACTTTTTTTTTCATCTGACCTCTTCATGACCTTCGGCTCAATACTGCTGCTGCTCTAACCACTTGTGCTATCATGACTTCAATCCCCTTGGTCACAACTTCCCATCTCAACCTACAAATTGGATTTTCCCTCTTTTTGCCATATTTTCATATTGTCATGTCATCAGGATTGATTCTCATCAATTTATGAAGTGGCCACAGATAGCTGTTAGCGAAGTAATTACTTCTTTTAATTATTATATTAACCCTTATATGTTTAGTGGTCATAATTGACCTATTTAATTATTTCAATTAATTGTACTTTTTATATAAGTCTTGGTTAAAATGAAAAATTCTATTTTATACTGATCACATATCTTTGTAAATCAATTACTACGATTTTCTTGTTAATTCCCATAGTCAGAAAATAAAACTTGAGATGGAAGTTGGTTTTATTAATTTTTTTATCAATGGTTATTATTGTGACCAACAGCTCTGTCGTAGTCATATCTCCCTGCTAATTTAATATACTTTTTTTTATAATTTTTTGCTTAAATCATTACTCAAAATACCTAAAGTATTGTCTGGAACGTGGCTTTAAATGGTAAAGAACGTGAACATTGTATCAAATTAATGTGTGTAAAAATCATTAGTTAAATATAATATTTTTAACTAATGATATTTTTAGCTCTCAATTGCTAATTTATAGATTTCAATTTTCATATCACCAAATGACCATTTATCTATGACTTTCATTCAAGCTTTCTTTTCTATTTCAGAGATAATCCACAGATATTTAATGAAAGGCCTAAACAGTACATATATAAACCATATAACGCGTGTAATGTTATAAGAATATTCTCGACAGCGACTCATCAGAACGCGTATGAAACTCAAAATCAGAAGCATGGCATTTACATAGAACACATATCAAAATTTCTTTTAGAAGACAAACCTATAATAGACATTTTTAACGAGGCACACGAAGGTAATCAATGTATACATCTGAAATGTAAATGATCAATCTATAATTAATATAATTAAATTACCTGTCTCATTTGTCTTCAAATTGCTGTCAGTATTATCATTAGTGTAAATAGAGCTATATAATTTAAATTTGCTGCATGATTGTTTGGGTAAATCATAACCTATTCTCACAGGCTTTGTCTGTGAGACAAATAAAGCTCAGGTGATAAAATGCCGAAACACATCTAACGGATAAAATAGGCATGGCCATCATAGAGCTCACCTAGCCTCACCACAGTTCATAATTTAAATTATGTTGTAATATACATATATTTCTGTTTTTAGCTTTTGAAAAGACAAAATTTTCGAAGTTTCAAAAACCATCACTTTCCATTGATGGGGGACATAGATTAAAATTAAATGTCAAACCGTTAGGTGAGTGTGCACTTTTTATACAAGTGAATTTTTTTTAAAGTAAATTTTGTTGCCTTAATACCCACATTTTAGTTTGTGTGATGTAGTTAAAAGCCCTGGACCTTAAAAATTGTATCCTCTGTTGCATAGACATTAATTGTTCATTATTCCAGAAAATGCTGAAGTGGACGCAAAATTAAATGCGATCTGTGTTTTGAATAACAATCATTATCGTTTAAGTTTTCCAAGAGGAGGTGAAAACATATTTCTACATGTGGCTCCCCACGAAGGGACCATTTTAAATGCCATTGACCTTAATTTTTACGACTTCCTATTCGCTTTTAATGTACAATTAGACACTAGTCCACAAGTAAGTTGTTTAACTATGTATATTAATGTAAAAACTTTCATAGCAAGGAATCATATTTTAAATTAATTTTTGATATTCATGATTGATTTGAATTCTCGTTTGGAGGAATAAAGTTGATTTTTTCTGCTTTTATACATTTTCGGCCTATAAGTTTATTTTGTTATGCAGATATGTGATCCAAAATACAAATGTACTTCTGAGGAACTTATATTCACATTACAAAACCTGCAGAAAGTAAAAAAGGTAATTTTATTCTGTTCAAAATTTCTTTTATGTTAAATTAATAGAGTACTTTTTAGCATGATGTATTCATCACAATAAAAATAAGAAAGCCTAATGGTGAAGAGGACTGTTGTTCATTGGATTTAGGTATTCCTCTTATTGCTGCTGCAGATCTGTGGTATCAGCCTGTAGGAGAGGAAACTTAAAGTTGTTAATTACAATCCATATTATATAAAATATTTAAAAAACTATTATTTATCAAAATATTTTGTTATTTATAATATAATAAATTTATTTTTTATATATAAGTGATTGTGTTGTTATTAAAGACATGACAAGCGGAGTACCTCAACTCTCACACCTTTCTACTTTGCAATCGAGATGAAACAGTTTCATCAAATTTTCCCTTTACCATTACTTCTGTAGAATTTGTTACAGTTGTGACAAATAATAAAGAACCATTGTTATCATTCAATAAATTGTCAAATTATTTTTAAAAAAGTATTATGTTTCTCATTCAAAATGTTGATATATCTGCTGAAATTTTAAATTTCTTATCATATCTGTTAAAAGAGCTAGGTATGATTTCAGCCAGCAATAAATCTCTCTTGAAATCTACAAAGACTGGTATAAAATTGCATAAAAATAGAAAAACACAATTTTAATTCCCCACCTCCCACCACATTTGGAGTCATGGGATTTCTCTCTTTAGCACTTAAACTTTCATCTAATGTGCCAATCTCTGCTAAAGGATTTCTTGGAAGTTTTTGTTTTTTTATGAAGTAAAGAATTCTTCTTGCCACTGACTGGTATGACCTATCGCTCCTCCAAGTTTAACCTCTCTAACTGTAGCAGTGAGTTTACCAGTCTCAGTGAGGGTTGTTTTAACATAAGCTTACCGTGTTTAGCACCTCAGCAGATTATCCACTTCTCCTTTTGCCTTTTTTGAAACATTTTGTGATTGAGGATTCTGTGTTTGTTTTTTTATATTAAGAATAGGTTCTGGGCTTATATATGGTCTTGCAGTTCCTCCTCTAGCCAGTGTGTCTGCTTTTTGTTAGTAAAAATTCCGTTGTGTCCTGATACCCATGATATCATCAGGGTATTGTGTTTTGGCAGTTTTTGAAGCATTCATTGACTTTTTAACATAATTTTTTTACTTACCTATGTTGTAATAGCTGCTGTTTGTCTGAGGATATTCTGGTCTTGTACAGAAATGATTCAGTTCCATAATTTGTTTGGGATGTGAATCCCATTCATTGTATCTGATGACTTCGTAAATTCTTTTCTAATTTGTAGTCTGTTGAGACTTCACAGGATGTTGTAAAGAGTGTACGTAAGTAATGTAGTCAGTCCCCAGTCAAAGAATGGGTGTCGGATTATATTAATTATTGTTGCATACCTGAAGTGTTTAGTTCCCATCCAATTTAATTGTTTCTGGAGTATAAATGAACTTTTCCTCGTTTCTTGTATAATTATTTCCAACGGAGGTAGGTTTAGCCTCCACCAAATTTCATCACATTTACCTTTATTTTTACTAATATTGATTTTTAATTTTATCACAATTGTAATAAATAAAATACCATTACTATTATACATCTATTCAAATTTTCAGTGGTAAATCTCACCGATTTGACATCTACAATGATAACATGACTGTAGAAAAATAGAGAAACTAGGTTTAGCAGTGCTTCTAGTGCAATTGACTGGGTAGTTTGCATTGCCCCAGTGATGTAGGTTTGCCAGTCTTTGTATGCTTGGCTTGTTTTAGCTAAGCATTATTCCCCAGATTGGGGAGCATTGGGATATTACTGCTGTACGTAGACAATGGGCCATTTTGGGATTTAGCCCCAAGATGTGCCAATAATTCTTGTTGTGGTTATTGTGATGCTTGCGATATTTTACTTTTTGTTATAATGTGCTGCAGATGAGGGTTCCATGTTAATTTGTTTTCAAAGATTTTTTTTAACTGCAGGATTTCATTATAGAATCATCAGCCTTACATTTTTATGTATCTTTCCTTGGTAAATGCTTTTTTTTCAAATGGAAAATATATATATTTTTTATTGCAAAATGTATTGTGTGTTGTATTTTAGAGATCTGCTAGTTTAAATAAATTTTTTTAAAATGTTTAAATAAATTTCCTTCTTTATGTGAATAAATAGTGTAATTTCATTCTTAGTTCTTATAGTGGTTATTGTGATGCTTGCGATATTTTACTTTTTGTTATAATGTGCTGCAAATCAGGGTACCATGTTAATTTCTTTTCAAAGATCTTTTGTAACTGCAGCATTTCATTATAGGATCACAGGCCTTATATTTTTATGTACCTTTCCTTGGTAAATGTTTTTTTTCAAATGGTAAATTTATTTATTTATTTATTTTTATTTTAACCCTCCACCTCCCCGCCATAACTAAGGGAGACCCCATATCGGTGGACCACGGCCACTAAACTAATTCAAATGGGATGCAAGTTTAGGAGAACTTATTGTGCTTAACGGCTTCCTTTGACCTTGCCCTGAAAGGGAAGACCCAAGGAATGAGGGAAATATTTTTGTTATTATTAATTTACCTAATCTAATAGGTCTCCCCCTTGCTGGTTAATCCTTTTGAATACACTTTCTAATAAATAAATATATATATAATATTTTAATAAATAACTAACAATTATGGGTACAAGGAGTAACCAGCCCGGAATTAAAAGTTCAGAGAAACGCTAAGATCTAACCAGTTAATTAGTCATCATAGGAAGAAAAAAAGAAAAAATAAAGAAAGAAAAAACTAGTCAGGTACTTTATCGACTATAGCTTGGCTAACAGGCTTGAGGACCTCAAACATGCTCTTTTCTTTAACTAGGTCGTTGAGGGTCGGTGGTCAAGTGTGGCGGAAGAGTNCCCCCCCCCATTCATGTATTTTATATTTGTGATGAAACATTTTCATCACATTTGCCATTATTTTTACTAGTGTTGATTTTTAATTTTATAACAATTTCGATAAATAAAATACCATTATTATTGTACATCTATTGAAAATTTCAGCGGTAAATCTCACCGATTTGACATCTAAAATGTTAACATGACTGTCGAATAATAGAAAAACTAGGTTTAGCGGTGATTCTAGTGCATTTGACTGGGTTGTTTGCATTGCCCCAGTAATATAGGTTTGTCAGTCTTTGTATGCTTGGCTTGTTTTAGCTAAGCTTTATTCCCCCTGATTGGGGGGCATTGGGATAATTTAGGTCTTATTACTGCTGTATGTAGGCAATGGGCCATTTTCACCCATTGTGTGGGGCACCAATAATTTTTGTTGTAGTTATTGTACTGCTTGCGACATTTTACTTTTTGTTATAACGTGCTGCAGATGAGGGTTCCATGTTAATTTATTTTCAAAGATTTTTTTTAACTGCAGGTTTTAATTATAGGATCACAGGCCTTATATTTTTATGTATCTTTCGTTGGTAAATGTTTTTTTTTTAATGGGAAATTTATATTTTTTTTTATTGCAAAATTTATTGTGTATTATATTTTGGGGATCTGCTACTTTAAATAAATAAATATTACATTTCCTTCTCTTTGTGAATAGGTGGAGTAGTTTCATTCAACTTGAATCTTAACCCCCCCCCCATTCATGTATTTTATATTTGTGATGAAACATTTTCATCACATTTGCCATTATTTTTACTAACGTTGATTTTTAATTTTATAACAATTTCGATAAATAAAATACCGTTATTATTGTACATCTATTGAAATTTTCAGCGGTAAATCTCACCGATTTGACATCTAAAATTATAACATGACTATCGAATAATAGAAAAACTAGGTTTAGCGGTGCTTCTAGTGCATTTGACTGGGTTGTTTGCATTGCCCCAGTAATATAGGTTTGCCAGTCTTTGTATGCTTGGCTTGTTTTAGCTAAGCTTTATTCCCCCTGATTGGGGGGCATTGGGATAATTTAGGTCTTTTTACTGCTGTATGTAGACAATGGGCCATTTTAGGTTTTAGCCCCAATATGTGCCAATAATTCTTGTTGTGGTTATTATACGGCTTGCGACATTTTACTTTTTGTTATAACGTGCTGCAGATGAGGGTTCCATGTTAATTTGTTTTCAAAGATTTTTTTTAATTGCAGGATTTCATTATACGATCACAGGTTTATCAAGTTATACTATCTTTCCTTAGTAAAAATTTTTTTTTTTTGGTAATGGGAAATTTATATTTTTTTTTTATTGCAAAATTTCTTGTGTATTATATTTTGGGGATCTGCTACTTTAAATAAATAAATATTATATTTCCTTCTCTTTGTGAATAGGTGGAGTAGTTTCATACAACCTGAATCTTAACCCCCCCCCCATTCATGTATTTTATATTTGTGATGAAACATTTTCATCACATTTGCCATTATTTTTACTAACGTTGATTTTTAATTTTATAACAATTTCGATAAATAAAATACCGTTATTATTGTACATCTATTGAAATTTTCAGCGGTAAATCTCACCGATTTGACATCTAAAATGATAACATTACTGTCGAATAATCGAAAAACTAGGTTTAGCGGTGCTTCTAGTGCATTTGACTGGGTTGTTTGCATTGCCCCAGTAATATAGGTTTGCCAGTCTTTGTATGCTTGGCTTGTTTTAGCTAAGCTTTATTCCCCCAGCTTGGGGGGCATTGGGATAATTTAGGTCTTATTACTGCTGTATGTAGACAATGGACCATTTTCGGTTTTAGCCCCAATATGCGCCAATAATTCTTGTTGTGGTTATTGTACTGCTTGCGACATTTTACTTTTGGTATAACGTGCTGCAGATGAGGGTTCTATGTTAATTTGTTTTCAAAGATTTTTTTTAACTGCAGGATTTCATTATACATTCACAGGCCTTATATTTTTATGTATCTTTCCTTGGTAAATGCTTTTTTTTTAATGGGAAATTTATATTTTTTTTATTGCAAAATTTATTGTGTATTATTTGTATTGTATTTTCATCACTGTTGTCTTTATTTTTGCTAATGTTTATGTTAATTTTATCACAATTTTGATAGATAAAATACCATTGTTATTATTTATATATTCAAATTTTTAGCAGTAAATCTCACAGATTCGACATGTATAATCATAACATGACGTTATAGAAAAATAGACAAACATTTTAAATACGTAAAAATAATTAATTTTACATGGATTCTGTTTATTCCAAAATGTCAACTAAAATGGTAAAATGTAATAAAACACGTAATATGTTAATGAGGGTTTGTTTCGAAATAGTGTTGGCCAATCTGTGAGGAAGTGATAACCTGCTGTTGTCAGTTGTTAACTGTTAGTGTTAGTTGTTTGGATTTGAGCTTCACTGGGCCTGTCTGTGAGCCTGTCTCTGAGGTCGTGGTTGATTCAAATGGTTCCTATTGAATCGAAAAGAGTCATATTTACAATGAGATGGGTCTGACAGACCGGCTCAAAAAATGGAAACGCGTTCCGGATAACTGTATGACGTACGTTTGACTTTTTGAATTTATGTTTTCCACTTTAACGCGAACAAAACACACACAAAAAAGATAAAATTTCTAATTTTTCTCCATTATTTTTCAGGTACAGGAAGGCGGTCTGTTTTATCATATTCCTACTGTTCGTCGTCATATTCGTCTACCCTAACTACATGACTAGAGATGATGGCAAGCACGCGTTCAAATTAGGTAAGTTAACCCTTTTTTTTCAACTATTTATGTTAGATAATTTTAATTTATTATTTGAGTAAAACTGCTTAAATCTGGTTGCAAAATTGATGGGAAATTCACTCGCCCCGCCCGTAGTCGTTTTTTTTATTGTCACAACGATATTCCTTGACGTTCGTTTCTGTTTTCCTTGGGTCGATATTGAAATGATGAAAAAAGTCTAGTTTTGACGAAAATTTAAAGGAAAACCGCATTTATTTCTACAATATTCACGTAAATGCCGTTATCGGGCATAAAACTCATCAATCAGTAAAAATAATCTTTTTTTGTAATGACTCGAATAGATTTACACTTGAACACTTTTTAACATGATGTACAATATTTTCTCCTTTCATCAAATATACACTGACAGGCAAAAAATTCCACCCAATTGATTTTTTTTTCATTTTCTCAATAAAAGAAAATTCTGCCCTTAATTTGTGTCATTGTTTTTACCAATAAATATTTGTTTAAGCTGTTTTAAATTGGGGATATCAATTAAAGGTAAACAGGCTTAATCCTTAATCCAAAACAAGGATAAAGGATTTTTCAATGTTTAATTTTTACAGATTTTAAAATGTTTATTCAGTCTCATTTGAATTCTGAAGCAATAAACTATTTAGTTTCATCTTTGTTTTCTTAATTTCAATTTCTAAACTTAAAAATGTCACTTAGTGCTGGGGATGTTGCGTGTGGTGTGGCTCTTATTGATGATGGACATTCCATCAGGTATGCGGCTGGACGGATAAGTCCGACTACTGCCAACACCCGGGGTGGGTGATTTTCAAGGTCTGCCAAGAGTTATTGTAAATTGCAAAAATTGGAATTGCCGGTGGACTGAGTCATGTAATAGGCTCAACTCTGAACATGTGTCAAACATGTTAAGATTTAAGATTATATAAATCCAAATCCAATTTCTTTATTTTCCATAATAACTAGGTAGAAAATTAAAAGTTGACTTCAAACATAGGCACATGGGGCATTTGTGGTTTTCACAGGTCACCATAGGTCCATTTTGCATTCCCTCATCCATGTCATGGTCTTTTGCATTTAAGTATTTGGCTCAACATCTGGACTCGTTGGACGAGTAACTAAAAGTTGTGCGCTCTATCCATATGAGCACAGGCTATGGAGAGTGAGGACTAAAGTACTGTATGGAGAGGGTGAGGAACATTCTCGGAGCTGTTTTATCACGAGGGCCCAGAGCATTTTATTCCGCTCAGGTATGCGCATCCTCTTGCCGGTCCCTCTGCTTTAAAGAAATTTTTGTAGTGTAGCTCCATGGGGCCTTCCCTCATACCCCATATTTTTGTGCTTTGAGGTCCACCATACGATTGTGCCATTGTGAGGTCTAGGACGAATGAGAGACATGTCCCATCTGGTAACCAGTGGGGAGTTTCGATACAACCTGGTATCATCAGGTACTCATCATGCCTGTTAAGAATATTCGAGTGATTCTCTGGGCACATGGAAAGGAACTAGTCCTCCGTCTTACTGCCAGCATAGACAAAGCCATTCAGGGTGAGTTGTAAGAAATGAAACATCCCCTTGACCCACCTCCTCACAACCCCATTCAGCCTACGCAGGCTTGGTGATGAACGTGTCGTCGGTTTTTTTTTTTTTTTTTTAATGGAAAAAACAATGGAACTGACTGAGTAGTTGATTTATGGACTTGTTTGTTTGGTGGATAGTTCTAGACCGAACGATTCTTTTTTTTCAAACCTGTCAAAAAGCGTTGGAAGTTACAAATTCGGCCTTTTGTTTTTACAATCTATCAAGTTGTTAGGTCGATCAATGGAAATATATATAAAAATAAATACAATAAATGAAACTATAAATCAATGGAAAAACTTTGGATGTTGCAAATCACACTGATGCTTGAACAAAGTAATGATCAAAGATTTTTTTTTTTTCAATCATCCTCAATGGTTTACAGCGGTTTAGAGACTATCTAGAGAAGGTAGTGGTCATCATGATGGCTAGAGACAATTGTTTTATTGCTCGTACAGCTCTATGAAACCATCATTTAACGTCTTTCTTAATAGGTAGTGAACTCCCAACAGTCTGGAATGAAAGTGTGCGATCTAAAACAGTCATTGGAAAGCTTTGTGAGAATAGCCTATTTTCTAGACGACCCGCATCAGGTTCTCTTCTACTGGAGAGGCATCCAGTAGCTAGGTGACTATTCACAAATCAGCTCTCACTTGGATACTTGACCAATGGGGGGGGCTGTTCTCTTCACAGATGAGTGTTTGGTATGTGACAATCAGATGACTGGGTCCAAGTGTGCCTTTTTGAAGACAGTCAATTTTGGTACAGGATGGAATCCATGCCCAACGTCCATGCCCATACCGAACTGACATCATACAGAATGGATCTTTGATTGCACCAAGGTACATTGAAGAAGTTCTTTTCCCATTTACTTCAATTATTAGAAACAGTGTGTTAATGCATGGTAATGCTGTCATAAATCCCATACGTGATAAAGAGATGGGCTAGGCATTGTTTCCCGCCTCCAACAACGCATTTCAACGTTTCAGACCACTCTTGTTAAGAATAACGAAATCCAATCACTTATTTAATTGATGTTTAAGAGATTTAAGGCTCTCCGTGAGGCCAGAGGAAATAATATGCGTTATTAACAGGAAGACTTTTCATGGATAGTACATTATAAGGAAGAAAAATTAAAAGGTTAAGCCCATTTATCCTATGATTTTAATTTAAGTTTGACACTTTTCCTGGCTTTGGATATGAATTTTTGTATGATTTACATTCTTAAAACCTTTATAATGAAATTTTAATAAAATGCTCATTTCTAAACTAACCTTAAGTGCTTAATTTGAAAAGAGACAAGTATTATGGTTAGGAAGTCAACAGTTGTTCATTATTATTCTGTTTGAATAGTAATGGTTCAGATCATAATTATTGGTAGTTAAACATTTAAATTAAAACCAAATGAATTTAATTTTAAACAAATTAAAGCAAGAAGAAAGACATGTCCCTAAACATAAAAGTACTGCCCTTCATTACCCAAGATTCACCGTCTTAGCATATTGTTGTCAAGAATTTTTCTTCTTTTTTTTAAAAAAAAGATAGTTCCTACTCACAATAAGTTGTTTTCCAACGATCCGAATTTCGAGCCCTTAGCTCATCGTCAGGTTGAAGGATTTCTACAACCACGTCTCTCGACATGAATTGCTAAAGTGAACCCGCCGATACCGCCGCCAACGCGATGTTCCAATGAGAAGCTGATTTTTTATTGGCGGTCAATTTGAACGTGCGAAAAGCGGGAATTATAACACAAGCAGATATTATAATAGTAAATACTGTAAGAAATTAATTATAAATTAGCGATTAAAGATAAGATAAGATTTCTCAAACCAATCTAGTTATTTCCCTTTGTTGAAACTATGAATTGAATTAATTATTTTAATTGTTATTATTTTTATAATAATTTAATAATATTAAGGTATTATTTTAATTTTTTAATTTTTTATCTTTAATCACTAATTTATAATTAATTTCTTACAGTATTTACCATTATCATATTTACTTNTTAGTTTATTAGTTAATTTTTTAATTTTTTGAAACTATTAATTTATCTGACAATAAAAAATAGCTATTTTGTATGGCTGTTTGAACTGTTGTTTAAGGTATTAGTATAATTTTTATCTTTTATCTTTAATCACTAATTTATAATTAATTTCTATTACCTTAAGGTAATACCAAATTAAGGTATTATTCTAATTTTTATCTTTTATCTTTAATCACTAATTTATAATTAATTTCTTACAGTATTTACCATTATCATATTTACTTGTGTTATAATTCCCGCTTTTCGCACATTCAAATTGAACGCCATTAAAAACCCAGCTTCTCATTGGAATGTCGCGTTGGCGGGTGTATCGGCGGGTTCACTTTTGCAATTCATGTCGAGAGACGTGGTTGTAGAAATCCTTCAACCTGATGATGAGCTAAGGACTCGAAATCTGGATCGTTGAAAAACAACTTATTGTGAGTAGGAACTATCTTTTTTGTTAAAAAAAAAAAAAAAAAGGATTGAACACCGCACTCATTCCATCATTCACCATTTCTACTAGAATTTTTCTCTTCTGGCTTCTTATTTTTATTGGCTGATATTCTCCAGCACTTCAAATATTGATTAGAAGCTGTTAGATTATCCTTCTTTGTGCTCTTTTGCATTGTCAGTGTTTTTGTACCAAAAAATACTAGTATCATATGCTCCGGAATGTCCCTGATGTGAGTTGAAAAAAAAATGGAGAGAACTGATCCTTGTGTTGATTAATTTATTTTAAATCCTGAGATTCCTTGCTGAGGTCCACCAACTGATAGAATGATGGTGAAAAGACAGCATCTGACAAACCAAACATGATCTAAACTGGCTGAAATTATATTCAAAGTATGTACAATAGAGAAACTAATAACAATATGTAAAAGAGATACCTTTTAAGTAATTTTAATAATAGGCAAGCCGGACGTTTCTCTTTGTTTATACGATAATGTCCATTTTCCAGTGGGTTTAGAGAATAAAAGGTGGAATGTAAATTTTTAATTTATTTGGCTTCTGTTTGCATTGTAGAATTGTAGTCATAACATTGTCTGACTGTACATTTATTATTTTCAGAAAAGATACGACAATGTTTAGAAGATCGACTGATTACATTCTCTTTGGATGTGGAAGAAGGGAATGCAAATGTAAGACGGAACCTCATAGGTGACAAAGATGACTCTTTCCTTCCATTTGTTGGGAACGGGTACCATGGTGTCACCATAACCCCGTTGTCGACAATATATTTAAAAAAATTAAGGACTCTATCGCTTGATTTAAAGTGGTCACCACTTTACAACATAAATACCGATTCTGTGATGGAAGAAGTTGTAGTATCAAACTTTCTTAATGGTGTTGTACATCGTTATCAGTGCCTTGGAAATGGCCTCCATGTTACTTACAATTATATTTCGCATAGATTGAGACCTTATTTATTTATGCAAGAATTAAAATTTGTAAATCCAAGTAGCCAAAAGGTAAATCTAAAGTTATCAAAACCAAATCTATCCCTATGGAGTCATACTGAACCTAGGATTACTAGGTAAGTGCATTTTTAATTTTATACATCTAAATTAATTTATAATTTGATTTTTTGATATATAAAAAACTTGTGATTTTAAGGATTCCAGAGGGGAAAGGCAAAGCTTTGTATGAAATCACTAGTGGTACTGTTGATATCGACAAAGAAAAAGAAGAGCTGGCTGTTTCTATTATATTGAAGTCAATTCCTAGAGCCCTTGAGGTTATTAAATTCATCTATTTTTCACCCTTTAAAATAGTATTATCATCATTTTCCTTACTTCTGTCACCTATAACTATTACTACATCTTTTCTAAGTAAATAACATTCTTGTGTGTTCTTTATACTTATAGCTAAATGATAGGAGGGTAGTAGTGTATTTTTGGTGGTGTTTTGGAGGAATGGTAAGGTTCCAAAATTCAATAAACCAAAGAGATAATATTCATAAACATTTATTTTTACTTCTTTCAATTAATTAATCTTTTTATGTAAGGTCTTGCTTGAAACGAACAAGATAGTGCCATGAGCAGGATTCTAACCCACGACCTTTGGCTAAATACGCCACTGCTCTACCACTTGAGCTATCGTGGCTTCGATCCACTCGGACACCAACTCACTCCCCATCTCAACCTACACCTTTTGAATTTTCCCTCCTTTTTGCCATTTTTCAATTTGAAAGGTTGTAGGTTGAGATGGGAAGTTAATGTCCAAGTGGATCAAAGTCATGATAGCTCAAGTGGTAGAGCAGTGACATATTTAGCCGAAGGTCATGGGTTTGAATCCCACTTGTGGCACTAGCTTTTGGGATGGTTAGGGATGGCACTAGCACTAACTAGGCACTAGCTTTTTCATTTCAACCAAAACCTTACATAAAAAGATTAATTAATTGAAAGAAGTAATTTGGTCAATAGACCACTACATAATGGATTTATTTTTACATTTTTCTGGACTGTCTTAATATTGCAATAATCAAACAAAAATTGCAAATAAGCCACAACTTCAACATCAGCTTCCACACCGTTAAGTGTCTTCTAGTTTCTATTTTCTACTGCTTCCTGGACCCTCAACAGTGACTATTCGACTTGTCATAATAGCTTGATCCTTTCTGGCTGGTGATGGCCGACTAAGTGTCCCACTCCACGTCCTTTCTATTGCTTCTGAGAGCCTCGACAGCCAACTCATTCTGCCTTGGACCGCTCTTCAAAGTTGTCTTTATTAGACTCATTTTGCCCTTGATAGTTGACGGCATTTGTTGACCGGGTATCTACACACACCCTCTGTATAGTTTACTCTCTGTGTCCGACTGATCTCTATCTCTCTCCCTCTCCCTCCTCTCCTCTCTCTCTCTCTTTCTCTCTCTCTCTCTCTCTCTCTCTCTCTCTCTCTTTCTCTCTCTTTCTCTCTCCCTCTCTCCCTCCCTCCCTTTCTCCCTCCCCTCCCCCTCACTCTCTCACTCTCTCTCCCTCTCTCTCTCTCTCGTCTTCACACACCCTCCATACTGTGTCCTACTGGCCGTTTTTTATTTTACAATCATATTTCCCAACAAAGGCTGAGGGAAGAAAAAAGCAAAACAGTTGGACCTGATGGTCAACTCCCTTCTTGCAAGGGATGGCGGTTCGTGCACCTTGTACTTCTGGGGTGTTTCTATTATGCAGCCCCCTGGCCGTTTGTTGAAGGCCTTCCGGTGAAGTCCTATCTGGCTGATCCCTATTTTATGGTGTCCTTCAACTTGATGCAACATGAGACAACTTTCCTTCAATAAATAACTCTGTATTTTTTGTTATTTATTGGAACTATTTGCTTGTTGTGTTTCTACACCCTCCAGGTTTTTTAAAAACGTTTCTTTGTTCCCTACTGGGTTGACTTGCTGTCAGATTTATAGCCTACATAAAAAAATAGATATACAAATTCTTATGTTAACAATTATTTTCACCTCATTTTTTACAACTTGTATTAAGATGGGGACCGGCTTGCACTGGTATACTAAAGAGTTCAGTGATAATGAAACCCTTCAAATTAGCCCTAAGTTTCAGTTTAGTGTTTTATTGTTGCAGATTGAACCTCATAGGACCAAAATAATTCAAATACCCTGCATAATATACTCTGAAGTAATTCCGAAAGGAAGTTACTTTGAAAAAAGAAACAACATCGAGACTAAATCTGTAGAGGTATGGCCTTTTTATGTAGAATATTATATTTATAGATTAAAATTTGTTAATGAAGTAATTTATTTTTAGGAACTGAAAAATATAACTATGGAGAATTTTAATAAAATCAAAATGGAGCATATTAATGCATGGACAAAAGTATGGGAAACAGGGCTTTTTATAAGCCATTCGAAAGCAGCAAATGCATTGAACGGGGACAAAATAAATGCAACAATCTATTATGTCCTGTCGAATGTATTACCCTTAAGTGTCATAAGCAATAATAAAACGGCATTGACCAAAATTAATGATAACAGTTACCTTACTTTGGCTGAAGGATGTTATGGTGGTTATCACCATACACTGTAAGAAACAATTTCCCTCATAATCATAATTATTAAATATACAATAAAAAAGATCCACATCAAATGGTGACAGTAGTTGATACTGTATTTTCTACACATTTTCTCATACTAAATACTAATAATTACCAATGTAGTGGACTGATGGTAGTATAATTCTAATTAAATGTTTTAGACAAGCAAAAAAACTTTGGAAAAGTTTAAATACATATGAAGAAGTTAACGATATTGTTTCCTTGTGGTTGCTAACTTTGGAAAAACAAGTAAGTTAAAAATACACACAGTATATTTATTTTTTTAATATTATTTGTTTTTAAGGGCTGTCAGAAATTAATATCCAGCGGTTATTTAAGAGTTATGCAAGCTCTCATTTTGAGTTTTGGAGGTTTTCGTTTTAATAGCCACCACCTTGAATTTAAAATTGATCCCAAGTTTCTACACAGAGATTTCATTTTCAGGTATCGACAATGTTTCTGTAATAATGACTTATTTTAATGAACTTGTAATGATTTTTGTTTGTTCCAATCAGGAGAATATCTTATGATGGCATCACAAATATTAACGTCAGTGTTACACTTCAAGATGATAACAAAGCTTTATTAGGAGTTTCCCTCGACAAAAGCGATAAGAATTATTATGCATGTGATGGAGGATGTATAGAGGAACCAGTCAAACTGGGGTAAAAAAGTCCATCTAACTTGTCTTCTTTTCTACCATTAGTTCTAACATTTATTAATTTAAAACGTTGTTTGTATGGTTGTCGACTACATTTGAACATCCCCTCCTTCCTTCCTGGTACGGGTGCCAACAATATGTCCACTTTGCCATTGTTATTTTGGAGTAAGTTAGGATTTCAAAAAAGGTGAAAATAAAAAGACTGAATTGTGAATTGTATGATTGGGGAAGAAATACTTAGCCTTCTTCCAGTCGCCTTAAAGCATTTTTAAGGCCAGGCTGACCTGTTGAACGTTGAAGAAAGGTGTGTGGTGATTAGTGACCGTTAATTGATATTTATTTAGAAATTGTGAGATGCGGTCTGGTGTGATGTAGGTTTCGAAAACATTTTCTTTATCATGCCAATGTTTCGGTCTTTATTGAGATCATCTTCAGGGCTCAAAGTGTTTTTATTCTGTGTAATTGTGCCATTCTTGCGTGTTGTGTCGAGAGTGCCGTGTTGAAGAAAGGATAGAAAAATAAAAGTAAATGAATGACTACACTTGAGGAGAATGAAATTAAAAAGATACAGTGCTCTTTGAGTGAAGTGTAAACAATGAAGGGTGAAAGGGGTAAAAAAGAAAGAAAGCGAGCTCAAGGGTTGAAAATGGAACAGCTCAAGAGAGAAGAAAAACTGATGGTTTGAAAAAGGAGTCGTCTAGCCTAAATGACCATAGTGGTTGAACACCATAATAAAGAAAAAAAGGAGTCGGTGGTATAACACTATAATCCCTTTGGTAGGATTGGGGCTTGGTTTAGACAACCACATTAGCAGTTATGTGTTCAAATACTGGCGTTTTCCTTGAAATTTTATACAAAAAGTTGCCACCCAAATGTAATTGTATGTTCTTGACCTGTTCATCTTGAATTTGTTTTTTTAATTATTCAGAAATCGTGAGATGCGGTCTGATGTGATGTAGGTTTCAGAAAAACATTTTCTTTATCGTGCCAACGTTTCGATCTTTATTGAGATCATCTTCAGGGCCTTGTGTTGTCTGCATTTCAGCAAAATAGTTCTCTGGTTGATAGCCGATGCGAGTTTCTTCTCATTGTTGGCAATGTCCTTCAGAATACTTTTAGCTGCGTAGTTGAAATTTGTCCATAGAATCCCATGTTCTTCGTTCTTCTCGTGTAGAAATGTGTGGTGATTAGTGACCGTTAATCGAATTTTTCCAGGGTTAAAGAGAGTACAACTGGATTAAATTGGAGAAAAGACAAAAAAAATGGTGTTTGTTTACAAAATGAGTAATCTTTACTATTACTATTTTGTTTTTAATTCTATTTTTTATCCACCTAACAAGATTATATCGGTTAATTTAATTAAGATTAATAGAATAAGCATAAATTACAATTATCCATATTTATTCAGAAATCGTGAGATGCGGTCTGGTGTGATGTAGGTTTCAGAAAAATATTTTCTTTATCGTGCCAACGTTTCGATCTTTATTAAGATCATCTTCAGGGCCTTGTGTTGTCTTTATTTTTTTACTTTTTTGCTTTTTATCAGCCTTCTATTATCATATATGTTGATAGAGTATCAGGGAGGATGCCAACAAAAAGGTCGGAGCTGGATTCCACATTTACTGTCAATTATTCTTTATTAATGTTAATTATTTTAATTTAAGTTAGAACAGTAAAATATTTGATTATTCTAATGGTAGATTTTTTTTTAGGACATCTGTGATTTACTTTCCTGTTAAAATGACAGAACCAATTACATCTATTTTATACATAACTTCAGATAAGAGCCACATGGAGTTAATAAAGCATACATTACATGTTCACAAGATTGTTGAGGGTAAGATTATTTAGTGTACATCTTAGCAAATAAATATAGACGTAATTTATTAATGGTTGTATTTAATATAAATCAAAAATGACAGGCAAAAAATTCCACCCACTTTATTATTATTTTTTTTTTTTTTTTTTCATTTTCCGGGTTATAAGAAAATAGAAAAAAAGTTTATTTTTCTCAGCAACAATAAATATTTACTTATACTGGGTTTCTAAATTGGGGCTGTGATTTAGAAGTGAATACACTTAATTTTTGCTGGTCGTACCATAGAAGGCAATTCCTAGGGTAATCAAAAATTGCATAGCCCAAATGTTTCTATAAGAACACATTAAGCAGGGAATACACTTGCCCAACGCAACGTGACGTGACCTGATGCTACCTGACTCCTTGTCTTGTTTTGGTAGGGTGTGCACATTTGTTTGATATTAAGTGGCTACAGGCAGTCGCATAACGTGTATCAATTCAGTAGCCACTTCAGTATCTAGAAAGAGCTCTTTTAGAATGGGTTAACTACCATCAAATTTTAAGATTGACTGACTTTGCTTTTCAAATCCCTCCTCCCAGGATTTGGGGAAGCAGAAACTGTTGGGCCAGATGGTCAACTTGCTTCTTGCAAGGGTCAGTCATGACCTGGAGAGCCGTGCAGTAATTCTCAGGAGTTTCCATTACGCAGCCTCCTGGTCCCATGCGGCGAAGAGTGTACACAATACCCACCTGGCTGATTTGACCACAAATTTATGGTGCCCCACAGCTTGATGAACTTTATGAAACATTTCCACACTAAATAACTACCTAGTTATTCAGATATCGTGAGATGCGGTCGGGTGTGATGTAGGTTTCAGAAAAACATTTTCTTTATCGTGTCAACGTTTCGATCTTTTATTGAGATCATCTTCAGGGCCTGGGATTTACAAACAATGTTTACATTTAACAAATACATTTAGGATGTGGAAAAGTGAATTTATACAATGCAAAATATATTTTATATTCAAACACAAATTCACTTTTCCACATCCTAAATGTATTTGTTAAATGTAAACATTGTTTGTAAATCCCAGGCCCTGAAGATGATCTCAATAAAAGATCGAAACGTTGGCACGATAAAGAAAATGTTTTTCTGAAACCTACATCATACCCGACCGCATCTCACAATATCTGAATAATTATCGATTAACGGTCACTAATCTCTACACATAACTACCTAGTTTTTTTTATTTAGTGGAGTTATTCGTTTGGCACGTTTTTATAATTCCATGTTTGTGGGAAATGTCTCTGCTCCCTCCTTAGTGGGTGATCCATCATATTTATGGCCTTATTTCTAACATTCGTTTGAAATCCCGTGCAACTGTTTTTAACTTATGTTCAGAACTTTTTCTAACTTATGCTAAAAAGGGACCAGCTTACAACTTCATTTCATGAATCAAAATTAAATAAATGTACAAAATAATGTGTGGTATTTACTGAACGTTAGTCAATTATTATTCCGAATAATTAATACAAAATAATCAACACTGGAACACATATTTTCAAGTGGGTGGAATTTTTTGTGTCAATGTAGATAGCCTAATTCTTCTGAAAGTTGATATCTAATAGTGTAAATAATACATATTACTTGTAAAGAGTGTTGTATAATTTTTTTCTTTTTTAGCTCCAGCTTATGACCATCATGTAATTGCCTTACACAGACATGGACATCACTTAGGTGGGCTTCCAGTCCTGTTTTGGGCTTCAATTTGTTTTCTTATTGTTATATTTCATTTGTTTCTTTTTAAACTAATTTTTAATGAATATTGTGATAAACCAGATAGACATTCTAGAGTAAGATATGGAAAAATTTAGAAAATAAATTCTGGTCATTTATACGCAATTTATTTTAGTTACTAATTATAATTCCATCCTTAATTTGTTAAAACTAAAGGCAGATTAACTACAGCGATTATAAAGGCATGACTTGCTGAGAGGGCAATGACGAATCTATGCTATTTATAAATTTTTAAAGTCTGGTGACGAATTTACCAAGCAAAACTAAATGGGTCCTTATAAAATTCTTCCTGAGATAAATAAATTATACAAAATACATACATAAATAGTAAATAAAAATATGGATAAATGGAATAATACTGGCATATAATTTAAAAAAAAACAATACTTAAAAAAAAGCTTGTGAAAACGTAGGAAATAAAACAAACTATATTTTTACCAAGGCTTGGCACATCAGAAAAGTATTAGCGCTTGGTAAAATTTGAAGCGCTTTATAAAAGACATAAGCTTTCAGAAATAAGTTGTGATTCAGAATGTCCCAGACTGTAAAAAAAACTTGCTGTTTTAATTTTTAATTCATAGGATCATGTAATAAAAACATTAATTTTTCATTAGACTTCCGAAAATAATAATTGTGGTAATTTTCATTTTTTCCCAATTATCAATGAGAAATTAAAATTACTCTTTAGTACATACTCTAGTAAGGGCATTGGTTTTCCTGAATTGGAAATTTTATATATTTAATAAGAATGTGAGGGTATTTAAAGCTGGAGGAAATGTCCTCAGATGTATGTACATGTAACCAGTACATACACATAATACTAGCAGGAAATGTAAATACAACTTAAAAATAATACACTCTGTAAATAAATGGTGACCTTCAAATTACTTTGTTCTACTAAGAATTTTTAATATATTTTTTGTATTGCTTTATTGTACAAAATTAAGCATTCTTATGTATTGTATTATTGATATAAAAAATATATATTAAAAAAACTATCCGAGATAGCACAATTTTTCTAGAAACGAGATAACACTTTTTTTAAATACAATAATCCCTTATTATTTACAAGGGTTGTAGGTGTATAATAGGTAGATATAAGATGTCATGTTCGCAGTGCACTCTTTGAGAGCTATTGTACCCTCTGTTCTGAACCTGTAGCACACTGGTTAGAGTCCTAGTTCCTCAAGAAATCTAGCAGGCCCGGTTTCAATGGTTGAATTTCTTCTATAGTTATTTTGTACATACCACAAAATACTACAAACCACTTCTGGGCAAGCACCATAGTTTGTTAGTAGGTGTGGTGGTATCTCAACTTCTTGCTAGCAGAATCTGCATTGGTTTGTTTAAACAAATCTTCAAATGCCCATTATGTCTACAGGTCTTGTTAAGAATCCTGTTAGGGTTCGAAGTTTTTTCCCTGCTAATTTTAATGTTTTCCTTTCCTTCCAAAACTTAATGAAAGGTTTTTGGATTGTTTGTGTCCACTGAGTGAATTCTACTGTTGAACGAGGGAATTTAAGACGAACCATGGTCTTGTAACCTTCTATCTTGAATGACAAATCTAATAAAACTTGATTCGAGTCAAGCAAAGGCTTGCCAGTGTTCAACATAAGTGATGAAACCATTCACTCTAGCTTTCATCGACTTGAGAAAATGTGGAAGCTGAGCAAATGCGTTCTTCATTGACCGATGGTAACAAGCTTCTGTGTCTTAAACATTTGCCTTTCGTGGCACAAAGTAGAAATGTAGTGTTGGTGAAGCATGGTTGGGAAGTCCTACCATACCTTCTGAACTTTCCATACCTGGCCCTATTCAACTTTGACCTTTTCTTATCAATGGAACGAATCAGAAGTTCGTTATTCGCCAACTGTTGGAAAATGAGTTTAATTTATTTTTTAAGTACCGGGACCCAACCTTATAACTAAGCTTAGGTATAACTAAGCTAGTAATATGTTGAGAGAAGGATGTCGGTGGAGACAATTTCCAACAATAAAATATTTCTAAACTAATTTTAATTGAGACAATTGTTAAACCTTTTAAACTCACACGCAATTTTTTGGTTGCTTGGTATTTTTTTATCAACCCCCAATTAGATTAGTTATATGTGTAAAGGGTGATTAGGGTTTGCTTCCCTTTACAAAAATTGTATTCTCCCTTGCTAATAACCAAAACCGAGCAATAAGACTCGTTAGCTTCTTACTTTCAATATAAATATTTGGACATTATTAGAAAATAAAAGTGAAATCAGGATGAGAGAATGCAAAAGTGGTCAATTCAAAGTATTATGTATTATTAAAAAAGTACATGCTTAGCAAAAAGAACAGAAAAAACATGCATAAACTCTATTATGGTCATAAAATTAAAAAAAAAACTACAAAGGCTACATACAGAACGAATGAACAAATTTGTTTTTTTTTTTTTTTTTTTATATTTTTTCTTTTCTTTTTTTTTTTTTTTTTTTGTTTTAGAAAACCTTGCATCCAAGAAAACTCCAAAATCGTTAAATACTTTCATCTTACACAATTATAAAACAAATCATTTTTTTTACCATTGTTTTAATATCCGATTTTATCACGACATAAGCTCTTTCAACACTAAGGCACATAAGAAATAAGTATCTATAAATTGTTTTAACCAAAACAATCAATTAACACTTGTTTCTGAATATTTTTTAATGGAATCACATATTTTTATTTGGTTTATGATTTTTTATTAAATATAAAATGTTCATTTTTTAAATTAAAACTATATAAAAATTTTTGAAAAAAGCCTAATTATTGCTGGTACTTTACACTGTACACTGGAACTCTATTAAAATTTCATAGCAGGAGGAATCAAAATAAATATTGTATATGTATAATCTTCATATCTATCTATAATTTTCCAGAATCCAATTCCTTAAATATTACCAGAGCTAGATTTATCAGAAAGCTCGTATACGTTTTATCATAATTATGAATTCAAGTATAAAGGATGCTGGTAAATATGAAATGTAAATGAATATTCCTTTAAATGTCCTTAGGTATGTTGTGTTCTTCTTGGAGTACAGCGATACTTCTTAAGCTTCTAGATCTTTCAAATAGTGATGGGTCGGTGTAAATCGGCTCACTCGGGTCTTCAAAGTGTCTTCCGCTGATTGTCGGGTTTACATCTACCATACATCTAGAACTTCTAAAGTAAAAATATTTTTAAAAAGTATCAGAAAGTAAATAGAGTCGATTTTAATACAATTTTTATGTACCTTCCAGTTAAAAATGATTTACTTGTTGTTGGCATAAGAACGGAAAAGACATTTGGCCGATTGTCAATATAGTGAGAAGCATTGTCAGTTGCAATATTTTTTTTCATAATTTTCCATTTTTTTCTACAAATAAACATTTTTTTTAAATTGAAAAGTAAAAAGAAAAATTAATTCATAAATATTTTATTATATAAGAAAGCTAAATATTTTAACGTGATAACTTCTTAAGTTGAGCATAAATGGTAGTAACAGTTAAGCATACTTGATTAAGGAGTATTTTGAAGTACCTGTAGCATAAAAACCAATAAATAATAACTGCAGTAAGAGAAATAAAAACTAAAGTCAAAGCCATAACTAATGTATAATATTCCTTATTGGTAAGGCAGACATTCCCATCTAGAGTTTCCACCTTCTGTTGCTGCGGCATTTCATAGCGAGACTCAAAAACCTGAACAAAATATTGACATTATTTCATGTTTCTTTCAAAACAATGTTGTTTTTTTTTTTTTTTTTTTTTTTTGTTTTTTTTTTTTTCGACTTCAGGATTTATTAAGGCTGTGGAATATAAAGTTGGTGCTCGTTCTGCGAGACATGCTGAACCTGTATTGGTCACTTATTGAGTGAATAGTTCAACAAATTCGCAAGTAGAGATGGACTCAATAAGTGACTCAATACCATTTAAACAAGACCATGAAATATGTTTGTTCATTTTTATTATTGCATTTTAGTTTTGATCAAACTTACACATAACTTAAGGTTGAAATACAAAAAAATTATTTTATTTTCGGTGGTTTTTGTTCATATATTATCTTGATTGGTTTCACCTCTATCATTTCTCGAACATGTTCTTCATTGTCGGTACCGTTTAAGGGAGGGATAACTTCCTTGGGGTAGTCATCGCTGCTCACCTCCCTCCTTCTCCTTCCAAGAGATGGTTCGCTTTTTCCCGAATGTCCTGTACAATATGCCTAACAGACAAATCAAGTTCTGTTTTAAAACTATTCGGGACAAGGTGAAATTTTATAATCGTGATAATTACCGGTTGGCACCCTTCTCGGCAAGTTCTGACTGTCGCCTCGAACACCAAGAAGTTCGACTCTGGGATCTTGAACGCGTTGAAACGAGCTTCTAAACCGTCACCTTCTCTTGATCGGTCTAGACCGGGGAATACATAATTATCCACAGGACATCTGTGAACATAAATCGTGTAAAATACAGTCAATGAATTATATTTTGAAAAAACATGAGGGTTATGCAAAATTTCTAATGCCAGATCACTGATGCCACGTCATAAACTGAAGTTGACCCGAATAAAAAGTGCCTATTGGGCCTAATGGGTTATAATTTTAACAATAAGAAAGAATAAGACAAGGAACTGCCACAGTTTGTCCTGTTATCTATCTTAAGTTTGACGAGTTCTTAGTTGTTGAAATGTTGATTTATTATTTTTTTAAAAGTGCAAAAATGTAATTTTACTGTTAGATCAATTTTTATTGTGACCACTGGTGCACCAATAACTTGCACCGAGATCAGAAAAATTACAATTCCCCGATTTGCTCATTCGTCTCAACATCCCCTCGAAACCAATATTTTTCATCATTTACCTCCCTCCTTTTTGTGATTTTGGACATTCTAATGCTTTGTCCTTGCAGTTGCTTGCAGTTTGTCTGATGTATTTGTCTCTAGGTACACCATTATTTTCTAGCTGGTCAGTTGTGTCTGTTTCTTTTTAACAGTCTGTTGTTCTTTGTTACAGTTTTCATTGTTAAGTGGAACTATATTTAGACTGTGGATCATGTGTCGTAGTGGTGCAATTTTGTGTTGGTGTGCGTGTTTAGATTGTGTGATGATGTTTGAAACTGGATTATCTGTATATTTGGAATTCAATTTTGTTCTTCGTTCCAGTGAGTGATAGATTAAGAAGTAGTAAAGCTATTGGGTGAATGTAACGTTTTTGTGTATCGCGTTAAGGTCTCTTAAGTACGTTTTCTGAGGATGTGTTGGCTGTTATGGTTAGTATATCGACTATCTAGATGTTTTATTCCGTTCTCATCGATAATTTTAGGAAGTGATTCTCTTCAGGGTGTTGGTTTTGTCTAATGGCCATATTTTCAAGGAAATACACAAAGTTACCTTGAGGAGGGCTCTGGGATATGAATCTTCCAGTAGGAAGCACCATTCTATGTTCTCAAAAGCTCCCTGTAAATCGAAGAACACCGCTAACGAGTACTTCTCTTTGCCTATTTTGCAATTTATTAGTGTTAGAATTCGGTCTTCAGTTCCTAGACCTTCCTTATACCCGAATTGTTTTTCCGAGCAGCTTTCCTCTAAAATGGATTTGAGTTTGGCTAACATCAGTTTTTCTAAAACCTACTCGGTACGGGGATGTGGCAGATAGCTCGGTATGACATCCTTCGTTTCCGATTTCCTGGTTTAAGAAGCTTTTTCACCCTTGCTTTTTACCAAATTTTAGGAAAATATCCTTCTTTCCTTGAGGCATCGGTTAAAAAAAGTCCTTTAGCTGGGGGAATAGCCGTGTACTTATTTATAATTTTTGCCTGGACTAAGTGCTCGGGAGCCTTTTTACCATTGAGTTTTAATTTGTCTGTTTATTATATGGTATTGAACCATTCATTTCACCAAAAGAATTCAAGACTGATCGAAATTTAGAAGCGGACCGTAGAGAAGCGATAGAAAATTCATTGAAGTCTACCGAGGTCAATAAAGATAGATTTGATTGATTTGACAAGAACAAAGCATACATTTCATATGGCGACTTGGTACATATCGAGGCGGGAAGCAAATTAAACGGAAATAAGCTCGATGAGATTCGTAAAACATCATTTGAAGTAATAAGACAAGTTTCGCATCCATATTTGGTGGATAAGAGTCGACTGAAGGTGGAGGAAAATTTTACCACAGCCGCCAACTTCTTCCCTATACCGGAGGTCTTTCCACGGGAAATTCTATGAATTAACCACCCATAATTGGGGGGGGTAAAGATACTTCACTGCTGTGAATCTTGCATCATGTACTTGAATCTGTGAAACTGTATCTTTAGTAGAGGCAGCGGTGAAGGGAATAACCTGCCTGTGGCCTGATCGCCCCAACATCCTAATACTAACCATCAGATTTGAGAAGAGTCCGAATGAACTCTGTTTATTTAGTGTATATTCCAGTATTACGTAATGTGGGAGGTTTATGGGCCGAAAAACAGCTGAGGTCATAGCCAACCCTCTCCGTGTTTTCCTTCTTTTAGAAGTCTTTCACGCGTATTTCATTTTGAACTGCAGCCATTTGAGCGTTTCGATCTGGTTACTAACTCTCTACTTTTATATGTACACTACGTCGATATCCTAAAGTGCTAACCTCTCGTGTGTACCTCAGGTAGTCAAGACAGAATAGACACAAAACATACAATACATATTTATACATCACCACCCTTTACAAACTTAGAAACCTGATCACATTCACTCCCTCAGAGCACAGAGTACTCGATAATCCTCCGGGTGGGTTGAACCCACTTCATTCTCGCTAATAACTTCTTTTATTCTTCAGACGTCACACACTCACCTCAGAGTACTCGATATTCCTGAGGGTAACCCCTTCTTTTCACGTTAATAAATTACTTTCATTCCAATTAATTAACATAAATACAACACCCGATAAAAATATGGAAGTCTGGCCTCATTCACTCTCCTAGATTTTCCTCGAAGCGAGTATTCCGTATTGAGACTATATCAGTGTAACCGTACATAGAAGATAATATGGTATATTCTCTCTTTAAACCTAGTAATGTGAGATTTTTCCTTGAGGTCTGTGGGGTGATGAACCTGCAGTTTGGTCATTTAGTTCTGGTTCGTTGGTCTAACACAAAACCAGCATCCTGGACTGCAGTAGACCAGGACGATCAGAAATAACTTAACCTAATGTTATTGTGATGTTTATAAATACCCAAATCTGTCGATTAGTTGAACAGAGCGACCCGAGTAGGGATCTCGTGCGATCACATTTGTGGCAAATATGTCCGTCGCGTAATTGTAACCGTCTTGCGCCTCGAGTCTGAAAGTCAGTGGATCGCCGACTGCGATAGTGTTGGTCGGCCTTCCTTGGAATAGGATCAGTAGGCGGACACGAGAGCTGAGCGAATTTTCAGCCGGTAGGTATTCAATAGGAATCGGACTTCCTGAACTGCAACAATTCACAACGTTAATTTTCTGTAGTGCAAATTTATGTCTGTTATGTACTTCGCGGTCATGTAGCTCGATGTGACGACCGCTTCGCCAGGCCCTCTCAGCAAACAGGTCAAGTTGTATCGTTTGTCCCTCCCGGTTTGGACAAAATCGCTGAATTGGACGACAACAATATTCGTCATGACATCACCATACTAAAATATTCATTAAACATTTGTATGTATTATTACGCCTGTATCTCAACGCTAATAATACCCTTATCGTTCCACAATCTGGGTATCCTTGGGCTCCGCTGATTCTCAAGACATTTGCCGTTCCACCATTTCCTCTGTAAAAACATCTATCGTAATATCCATAAGTGTAGATTCTTCCGATGAAAGGTTCCGGAGTCCTAAGAGTAAATTCCATTCCGTCTTCACTGCAAACTTGGTTTACTGAAAGGGAAAAAACTGTAAGGTACCAACTTGCAGATGATTTGTTTATTCTCACCATCTAAACAGTCCCCATTGCCTGATCTCCCCGCGGATCTTTCATAAAAGTCGTAGTCCCCAGTTGTTTCGAAAAATGACGGGTTATTCAAATTGAGATCTCTGGAATCGTGGTCGCTAAGTTCACAGTTCTCCTTTTGGGGTGAGAACGGTGCAGTCGGAGAAGCCCTTTCATCAAAAATGACATTGAAATGACTAAATCACCTCAAAACTTGTTAAAATTACCTGAAATTGAAAGACCGGCATACGAATTCGTGCGTTTCCATGCAAGCCTTTTCGCAGATAACCAACGACGGAACAGACAGGAATCTCCTAATAAACTGCCGTCTAGCACGTAGCCTTATACCGACCTGGATTGAAAGTTTTTTCATTAGATAATCTCCTGATGCGTAATATTAAAATTTGCTTGGAATGGCAGTCACCTGTTTGAAAGAATCAGCTTCGTCACATCGCGAAATGAAAGGTTTCCCCGGTTCGCCCGGGGGAGCGTGAGGGCTGAAAAACCCTATGCCGCCCGGACCTCCGCCCCCGGGTCCTAGAAGATTATTTCCACCTCCGAAACCACCCCCTGGCCAAACAACACAAAGTTGACATTTATTGGATTAATTCGTCGTCGAAACAACACCATCTACAATACTTTCACTTTTACCGCCGTAAGGATGATCAGGTGGTCCGTGACCTTGCAAAGGTCCCCAGTAGCCGGGTTCTCCTGCAATGGGAAAGTGTCCTCCAGGGTAATAAGCTCCACCGCCGCCTCCCCCGCCGACGCCGCCTCCTACTCCTCCTCCTATTGCACCTCCGCTAATTCCTCCACCTCCGATTGGATAATGTCCCCCTAAATAGAGAGAAATGCATTATAACATAATAAAGTCTTTGATACTATAACACTTGGCCATACCGAGGTGTGGTGGCCGCCCTTGTCCGTGATAGGAAGTGTCTTGTCCGAGAGGATCAGGCCTATAATGCGGTGCAGACCCTGGAGATTCCCCGTCTAGATAATAATCTATTTAAAAAACATAAAATACTTAAATCAATAAAAAGTTGATGTTTGAACACAATGTTATGTGTAATATAAAAAAAAAACCAACTCATCAAGTTTTCATAGTAGTCATAATCAGCATCGTAGATTATCCTGTGGCCGTCTCTTTGGTTGAACCTGCTTAGACGACAGATTCTAAACCGATCGCTGTAAACCGCGGATCTGCATTGAAAACTGGCCTGCCTCAGGCACTCGTCTAAACATTCGCTCAACGAACGCCCTGTTATCTCCGAATGGAACTCTCCACCCAGCCGGCTGTTCCTGTACCTCTGGAAAGCCGTGTCAGGCCTCCGTCCATCCGCAAAGAGGTGGGAAGTGCCGGAATTTTCAGAAAATTCACTCCCTTTCGCTAATAATTTATTTAAAGAGAAAATCAATATGAGCAGCCTTTATTACAAATTCGTATTAAAATATTCAAACGCTTACGGCTGTCGAGACAGACGAGATCGTAAAGGTCATGAGTTGGGCTGCTGCTAATCCTTAAATCGTCTTTTTGAGATAAAGAATCCTCCTCGAATATGATACATCTTCTAATCTGCTCGTCGTATTCTATCGACCGGCAAAAATACCTGAAATATACAATAGATTAATCTATTATGGATTTTTAGTTGGTACTATTGATCAATATGTGGTGTTCAGTGACCGTTAGTTAATGAGTATTTGAAGATCGTGAGACGCGGTCTTGTGTAAAAAACATTTTCTTTATCGTGCCAACGTTACTGTCTTTATTGAGCCCTGAAGATGATCTCAATAAAGACCGAAACGTTGGCACGATACAGAAAGTGTTTTTCCACAACCTACGTCACACCAGACTGCATCTCATGATCTTCAAATATTCACTATTACTTAAATTAACTACTTTAATTATTCTGTAAAGTTTGGTTGAGTTGAAAAATTAGTGTCACGAGCGGGACTCGAACCCAAGACCTTCCGGATCAGTACCACGGCGCTTCTACCACTCGAGCTATAATGATTTCTGAAGAAGTTCTCAAGTGGTAGAAGCGCCGAGGAACTGATCCGGAGGTCATGGGTTCGAGACCCGCTTGTCACGCTAATTTTTAAAATCAACCAAACTTAGCATAATAATTGTAGATAGTGGAGATTTGAATTGAAAAGTATTTGAGAGAAATGAGACGATTTTACTTTTCCGCCCGAAGACATTGCGCTTGGCATTCGATTAGAGACAAGTTAGAGTAGATGTCCACTTCAAACGGACCTCCGAGCCTTTTGTTTTCCTCTTTCACAAAAATGATCGGACCGTCGCAACGCCTCTCCGCTGAAAAGAGATCAGATGAACAATCCAGTATTTATGACGGTTATTGTGAAAGTTGAATGTACCGTTCAAACAGGTGTTTTCGAGATAGTCCGAATTCGGGTCGTCCTCAAGAAGTTGAGGATGGGAGCGTCTTGTGAATCTACTGAGCCAACATGTCCTTGCAGTCGCGTCGTACGTCACCGAACGACAGACAAAATTGAATTCGTTCAAACATCTGAAATATGTCACTGTTGTAGCTTTGTTTTTTTTTTTCTTTATGCCTATTTAAGTTTACCTGTCTTCACAATCGGTCCTATTAGCTGCTATCACTTCTTTTATGTCAGAGACGGCGAGTTTCAATTTTTTCCTCGTGTGTCGTTCGAATACGTAGTGCCTGCTGGGACATTCTCGTTCGATTCTACTCGCTGAAAATATTTTCAAGTCAAAAAACTAAAAGGTTTAACGAAAAAAAATTTACTAACAGGAAAGGCAAACTTCTGTATAATGGACACTGTTTGGTACGAGGACTAAATTTCCTATCCCTTCCGGATGGGCTTGTTCTCTCGTCAAATAGCAAGTAGACTCTTCGTATTCGACCGTTCCGCTAAAGGACGCGATCCTGCTTCCTGGCTGGAAATCGAACGAGGTGCAAGCACGTACCAGGTTGTTAGTCGCTGTTCTATCTCTCAAACAAAGTTCCTGACATTGTTCCAAAACACGAAAAGGTGGCGCTGTGTCCCTCACCTAAAATTTATATAAAATTATCTTGAAATTGTTTAACTTGCTCTTTGATTTTGAATTTAGACGATTCTATTACAACTGTGGATGAGGTGGAAATAAGACAAAAGGATACAACGTATATATTTTTTTAAAGTTATATTTTAAGGTGCTTTTTCTTTCATTAAGCTTGATATGCCAGTGTTTGCTCCATTTGGCTATCCACAGGACATGCACCTGGAGCTACTCGGAAGCAATTGTGGGATCGGGATCAGAGATAGGTCAGCTATGTGGTCGGCAATGGGATGCAAGGATGGTGGAGGGTTAAGTCGAGATATCTGCCGTTTAGAGGTAAAGGATAAGTCCAAGTACACTGTCCTGAGATGCTCCCGCTCCCAGAGGACATTAGTCGGAGTAGGCCGATCCCTGGCGGATTCTGAAGAATCGTTCAGTAGGAACGAAGGATTAGGCAGAAGGTATTTGGAATGCGCTTTAGTTTCTACAGGAGGCCGTCATGCCACTTGTGACAGGACAAGAAATGGCCCCACACAGTATTCTTTGCGTTCGAGGAAAGAGGACATGCGGTCCAAATTGCTGGGTGGTGGCATGTTGAGGTCTGGAAGAAGGTTGGAGGAGTTGAACCTCGGGATTAATCGTTTGATGAGAATCTTCTCGAATACTTTTAAGAGGTAGACTGATTGGACGGTAAGAAAAAGTATTACTGGGGAGTTTTACAGTGTTTTGGAAACAGGATAACATTGGAGTATTTCCAGAGAAAAGGGAAGAGGGTGGTGCGGAATATACTGTTCTAAAAGTGAGCAGTGATGGCTTTTTTTGGGAGTTCTAGGAGGATTTAGGGGATGAGATCAAAAGCCTTGTGCTTCCGCAATCGAGCCAGGATATATTTTACTTCCCTAGGGGTGACTGGTTTTGGAGGGAGGGAAAGGGAAGTTTCCAATCTAATAAAAACCATACCACATCATCGTCGAAGCCTTGCAATTGTTGGTCAGGGAGTCTTTCGTACATAACTCGGCCTAATCCTTGATTGCACGTAGTTTGAGCTGAAAAAACAAAACATTAAACTATTATTACATAGAGTTTAATTTTTAAAATTTAATATATCCATAATATGATAAAAAAAATCAATCTATTAATAAAGTTGGTCTATTTTTATATATTTCAAATTATTTTCTATTCGTCTGCAATAGGTTGTGGTAATTATTGAACTTATAATATAAGGGGCTAAGTATCTAACTTTGATAAAACGTTTTTTGTAGATACTAGGTCGAAAAATATTAGTCACGTGTCCGACCAGTTCCTGCCCATGGGCCCTGGAAGCCGAGAAATTTTGTACAAGTAATTTACATATTTTTTAACGCAATGTTGTCCTTTTTTCGTAAGATAATAAGATATGTTACACACAAATTATAGATTTCAATACCTAAGATGCCACCTAAGCTAGCTACCCAATACAATTTCGACCTAGTGACTTTGCAAAGAAGGATAAATGATTTTTTTTTAAATCTAGAAATAAATTATCATTCGGAGATCGTGGGATATGGTCCGGTCTGACTTAGGTTTTAGAAAAACATTTTCTTTATCGTGCCAACGTTTCGATCTTTATTGAGATCATCTTCAGGGCTTGGGATTTATAAACATTGTTTAAATTTTACAAATACATATAGGATGTGAAAAAATGAATTTATAAAACGATAGAAATTTTAGATAAAATAAATAAATAAATAATAATAAAAATTACACCAATTAAAATTCAGTGCCGCCAACATAATACGTAGACATTAAAAAAAAAATTTTTTTGCATCTTTTTTACAAATATCAAAAAGATGCAAAAAAAATAGCATTGTATAAATTCATTTTATTTATTTATTTATTATTAATTAATTTATTTATTTTATCTAAAATTTCTAGCGTTGTATAAATTCATTTTTTCGCATCCTATATGTATTTGTAAAATTTAAACAATGTTTATAAATCCCAGGCCCTGAAGATGATTTCAATAAAGATCGAAACGTTGGCACGATAAAGAAAATGTTTTTCTAAAAACTACGTCACACCAGACCGCATCTCACGATCTCCAAATAATCACTAAATAACGGTCACTAAACACCACACGTTTCTAGAAATAAAGTTGATATTCGTCTTCCTCAGTCCAAACAACCCCTGAATACAAAATAATTTTTGAAAAAATAAAATATATTCTTTTTTTCTCATATTTTTTGCCTTCTTGCCTTCCATATTTTTTGAAAATCACAAAATATCACATAAATTTGAACATGCTCCACCAGTCTAGAGAAAAATTTAGAGGAGTTGAAAACCCTATAAACTACACGCAATGGCACAAAGTTGGTCTCCTTAAATAAATTAGATCTCGATATAAAAAATAAAACGTTTGAAGTTTTTCATTATTTCATTCTTATTTTTCTCATTTATAATGAAATAAAGTCTGAACGTTATTGACATAGTCTAAAACTGAGGAATCCAGATTTCAAAGATTGTAATAACTTCATTATAGTTCGTGGTCCGATTGACCGAATAACGTTTTTCAATTAATTATTTTTTATATAAGGCATTGGTTGAGATAAAAAAGTCAGTGTCACGAGCGGGATTCGAACCCACGATCTGCGGCTAGATACGCCGCTGCTCTACCACTAGTAGTGACTGAAAACTAGTGAATTTAATAAGTTAAGATGAAGTGTAAAGCTCTCCGTGGCCATTTCATTTGTCGCCGAGAATCAAATAGAGTACACGACATTTGAAAAATGGCAAAAAGGAGGGAAAATTCAAAAGGTGGGGTTGAGATGGGAAGTTGGTGCCCGAGTGGATCGAAGTCACGATAGCTCAAGTGGTAGAGCAGCGGCGTGTTTAGCCGAATGTCGTGGGTTCGAACCCCGCTCGTGACACTGACTTTTTATCTCAACTAAAAACCTTAATTAATTGGAAGTATATTATAACACTGAAAGACATTAGAAAAAGACAAAAAACTTTAGTTAAAAAGATAATTAAAGAAAATATTTAATTTTTGGCCTAGTATCATCAAAAAATTAAAGTCAGTATCCCACGTCCGTAGTATTAACCAGTAAGTCAGAACTATTCATTCATTTAATCAAATCTCTATAATTATATATAAACCTTTATTTTGCTGAATTATAAAAAAATTCTCTTTTCGATACTAAGTCCACGATTTTCGCCACCTGGCGCGCTCGAAAATTAGCAGCATTTTGCGGGATATAAAACAAAAAGGTTTTGTCATGCATATATGCCATTGTTTAAAACACAAAGGACCCAAATGGAATCACAGAAAAATGGCTTCGTTAAAAGTGTGTCAAGGCGACGCTTGTTAGCAACTATAAACGCGCATATCCAAAAAAAACTTTCCTATGTCCAATAATCCGTTGGCTAATTAAATTTAAACATTAACTCCAGCAACATAATACATTATTTTATTCGTATCTTATATCACTCAGAAATTATGCCCATTTTTACGTATTAATATTTAATTATATCAAGAGATTCGAACCCGGGATCATTGGAGTAATGAGTTTCAATGTCAATCCTTAACCGCTACACCTTTATTATTTCTGTGATTAATATTGAATATTTATTTTATATTATTTTCTCAACCCAATTTTTTAAATAATTTGTACTTCCAGGGTATATTCATAAATCGTTGGTCTACTTGGCTGAACGTAGAGGGACCGCGGTGGCCGAGGGGTGAGGGCATCCGACTCGTATTTCCCACGCTAGAGTTCCTGGGTTCGAACTCCGGCGTAGATCGTATATTTTCATTGAGAATAGTATGAAAAATGTATTATAAGGTGATTTTGAGTCATCATTCGTCACACCAAAAGGTTGACGGTAAGCCCTCCTGTACTACAGAACTTACTTTACTTGGTTGAAACATAAACACAATAGAACATCGCCATGATGATTTGACCGGAAAATTCCGGAAAAAAAGGTTATTTTTTAATAGAACAACCTGTAAAAAGTCTAATGTTTTAGAACTGGGAGGATTGATTGATAACAACTGTTGTACGTGGTGAAACAATTAACTCGTCAGCGCGGTTCCGTTCTAAAGTACACTCCTCTCAATTACCGTTAACAAAATAACAGCTTTTGTCTTTTAACGAATCGCATGACGTTAATTCGTGCTAAAGTTACTTGACCGTATCCTGATTGATACTAGGGCGGACTTTTTCATATATGCTAAACGATCAACTGACTCCGACAAGTCAAACGTGAACAGATCATAAAACCACGCCTTATTGTTTAAATTTATTCTTTGTTGTTTAAAATCAACAGATTTTAAATAATAATTTATTTATAGTCGGGACTAAATATGTTCATATATTTTTGTTTACCGTATCAACACTGATATTATGGATAGAACTGCAGCCGGAGGACACATGTTAAAAGATTACAGTGTTCAGATCAACCACAGTCAAGATGAGGGATTCAAGTGCGAGGAAGTCTCGAGGTCATCGGCGTTTAAGATTTAGGATGGATCGAGTGTTGAAATTGTGGAATTGTTTTTTGACCAGGTTCTCCACGATTTTTTCATCCCATAGGACAACTTTCCTTCGTCAAGCCGTCAGCTTAGGCATCTAGGGGTAACCGATGATGGAGGCAAATTTCCCTCTACCTTTCAATTCCTTTCCTTTCCTTTCCTTAATTCCCCTCTTCAATTTGGTGGGGCTTCCTGGGTTACTGAACCCTCACCCCCTCGGGTAACGGGTGAAAACAGTTGGGAGGCAACCCCCGGGTGGGCGATCAGTCACACCTTAAAAATAATACTGAAAAAAAAAATAAATAGGCAGGGACGGACGAAAAATAAACCCTGAGTCTTGACAAAGGGAAGACAGGGAAGAATGGTCCTCCATGATTGAGATAGCTATTGTTGTTAGTGCTGTAGGCGTTGAGGATCCCACAGCTCGACTCAACAAGTCCAAATCAGTTTAATGAGAGTTTTGTGCACGGTTAGTTTATATATACTCGTTATAGATTTTTGCCCAAGTAGGTTTCTGAGTTATCCACATATTTTTCGCGTTTTTTTAGTTTTAGTTTAGTATGTGGGTTTCATCATCTGCTATCCAAATAAAGCCCAAGGTAGTGGACTTGATTGAATGTGCGCTGGTGGGAAGGTCTGGCGTCTGAGCGTGTCACAGGATGGCTTTTTTGATCGTTTAACTTGATCCGTCACCAATGATGACACTCCAGTCCAATGAGGTTTAAGTTTCAAGGATTGCTTCTGTTGCTTGAGTAGGGTTCGTGTTGTGAATAGGATCGCTGTGTCGTCCGCGTATGTTGTAATTTGTGTGTTAGTCTATGTAGGCATGCTAACAGTGTATATTCGGTCCTAATGGTCCTTGCGGAACGCCTTTGATTGACTTTCATCTGTAAACCAACGATTCGAGAGACTTCAGGACGAGTAGGTGTGAAGTAGGATATTTTTTGGAAAGTATAAAGAAGTCTTGGACAGGGTTAGAATAGAGAGCTTGGGGTGTTACTTTTGTTAGCCGGATCGGATAAGTTCGTTAACAAAAGGAAATTGCGGATAGTGAGGTTAGTGACGTAGTAAAGAACTTTGACAACAATTTGTCTAAGGACCTTTTACTGGAAGGATCATCTGGATATTGGATTGCTTAGCGGAAAAACACAGTTCCTCTATGCATGTCCAAATTGGTAACAGTCTGTATAGAGCTAGTTGAGTTTGGACGGTCAAAACCGATTCCCTAAAGTCTTCTTAGTTGTCCTAGTCTTCTGTTAAGATTTTGTCTCTTGAGGCTTGTATGGTGATTCTTCGTCATTAAGCTTTCTAGGTATCCGACTCGAGTGGAAGAGTAGATCCTTGTTGTTGGTGTACAGTGAATTAAAAAACTGTTTATTATCCACATAATTATTATATAACATTACATACAAACTACTATTAATACTTCGTTTTAATTGGGAGAAGTACAGGCAATTTAAATAAACGCCTTCCGCCTTATAAGTTATCGACCGTTAAAATCTCCAGGATTTTCATTTATTATTTTTTTAAACGAATATTAAAGGAAAGCTGATGCCTTTAAGGCAATTAAGCCATTGTTCCTACTACGGTTGGCCTTTTGGTACACACAACTTTCATGAGTGTTCATTAATATGCCATAAATGTATTGTGAGATTTCTCCTCGTGGTCTGCTGAGTGATGATTTTGTAATTTAATCGTTATCGATCATTTTTGATCTCTCCTCGCTGATTTGCTCTGTCAGACTTTCTGTCTCATAGGACAGTACCCAATACTAAATATGTCGAAATGCCGAAACGCATTTCAAACAACCAAACCGGCGAGAGTGACCAAAAATGGTCGAAAACAACCAAATTACAACTAATTTATATTCTTAATTGTGATAATTGAGGACAAGATAGTTTTCAGATATAAATACTCTGCGCCAAAGTCGCTAAATAACATTTTTTTATACCCCCCCCCAATCTACAGTCCTGCATCCAGATAATTCTCTCATTCTTTCTATGTCCTCTTGTTGTTTTGTCCTTTTCCGCCTCGACTTAAATCCAATAAACCATTCTCACAATCCACCGCTGAAGTCAATTCGTTTCCTAACAGTCAATTTATTTCTTCTTCTTTTTTTTATTGCGCCCGGCTGCGTTAAGATCGCATATAAAATAACGCTAGTGCGCGTGCTGAATCCTTGATTCTTAAAATCACCCCTGTTTCGGACAAAGACATTTGTTGTAAATTGTATGGCGACCGACCAGTGTGCTTGTATAAATGTTTGGTCCTCCGGGCCAGATCAACTCAAACGACTTCTATTAAACCGTTCCCCGTCCAGGCTATCGTCGAAATCGGCCAAACCGTTGGAGCAGACTTCCTAAGGTAAAGAAAGTTTCTGGTTTTTTTTTCTGCAACCAATCAGCGCACAAATATTGCTCACAAATATTTAATTCTCAGAGCCGGATCTACTCAAACGACTTTAGCTATTAAGCAGCCCTCGCCTCGGTTCGACAGCGGATGAGCGGACTTCTCAATGTAAAGTAATTTCCCTTTTCATTTTTTACTGCAACCAATCAGCGCGCCATATAAATATATGGTCCTCCGGGCCGGATTAATTCGAATTTCTTTGCGGGTCTCGTACTATGAACTGTAGGTCTTGTCCGCCCCGCCGCCCCATTAATCCGGGATATCGACATCCCGGTCATTTCAGCCCCAAACGCATATAGCAGTATTGATACTCTCAATCATTCTTAAAAACTGTCCTATATTATGTTAAATCTCACCCTAAATATATAAAAAAATTAAATTTCGACAATAAAATTGACAACTGAACATGATTGAAAAAAAATTGTTTGTCATAAACCCTTTAAATATTTCGAGTTTCTAAAAATAAATGACCAAACCTAACGAAATAAGAAATTAACGACTTAAGCTATAGATTTTTTTGCAAAAAAGTAATAGTAATAAAAAATTAAATAATTAATTGTTAAAGTGAGGAAATGGATAATGAAATGTTGCTGTTGTTTGAAAACATTAAGAAATTTGTGTGTTTGTGTGTGTGGGTAATTTATTGTAGAAAAATTTTCCGCCGGGTCTGCTGCAGAAAGACACCACATTTATTTAAGATTAAAAGATCAGGAATTGAATTGGTTTTGGTTGAATCAGTGCATTGGGGTGGTGCGGGTTGCGTTGTTGGTTGCGTGGTGGACCATTCCAGTGGCGAAAGGTCTTTTTTTTCCAGGGCATAAACAAAAGAGCTTTCCGGTCCGATAAGAGGTAGAATGGGGTGAGGGAACCGTGTGACTGCGCGATGGCTGCCCCCGAAAGCGAGCGAATTTCCCTCCGGACGCACCTGCTGCCGCTGAACGAGAGATAGGCCGTTGACCTCCAGGATCCGCATTCACTACTCGCTAAGTCCGACTTGGTTAAAAAAAAAATTAAAACAGTGTAAAGGGCTCAAATTTAAAAATGGTTGATCAAAACGAATTTGAAATGGATTTTTTACATAATTGTCAATACTGAAGCGTTTTCACTTCTTGATTTGTCTTAATGGAAAACGCTAGAGTTTCAGAATTTTAAAATTTATACGAGGAGTAGGGTGTTTATTAGTACGGCGATACTGAGGTAAGTCGTTAAGGACGGGAGGAAGAGTCGGGACGCCATTTTGTGAAGGCGATTGGACGATCGGCCCCTCTTAAAGAACAAGAACCTTGGCTCCGCCTCGTTTTCCTTTCTGTAGCCCCTTCCTACCGGTGAGTCTCAGGATTCTCGTGTGGCCATTCTGTGACTGTGTATCACACGAGAGATCCGAAAGTTTAAACTTACAAGTTAATAAGGGAACACTTTATCCTTGATGTCAAAGAGTAGTATTTTGGCCTTCTGGGCAGGACTAAGGGTAATGATTGACGTGACTTACCGTTGGTGAGCATCTTCAAAACAGTGAGGACTGTTATAGCTTGAACCATGTTGAATAAGACTGTTTTCATTTTGTCAGTGACTCTGATGGTGCATGTTCCGAATGTGCTGGTTTAAAGGCAGATCGAAAACTGTCCAACTCCGGTCGGCTACTGCCCTTGTCCGTTCGGCGGAAGTACCTCTCTCCATTATTACACTTCCTCTCCCCGGGGTCATGAAGGACATCAACCCATACTGATGAACTACCACAATGCTCCGGCACCCCCTCCCTTTTACACCTCTTCGACTATTATTCCCTCTAATACCGTGATGACACATTTTGTTTTCCCGGCAAATCTTTTCATAATATTCAAACCGAATTGTAGTACTCAGAGGGGGAGGAAAAACGGCGAACTTTCGCCGAGGATCCGTACGTTTCGAGCGTTTAGAACGTGTCGCCTTCGGTCTTGAGGAGAAACGCAGGATCGGGATTTCGCCAATCTATGTCAATAACGGTGAAGGACGTTCTATAGAATCCTTTTTATCCACACATCTATCAAATCCACGAAAACTGAAAACAACCTCGTGTCCTTTCTTGAAAAATGATTTTTTTTCTGACTGTTAACTTCACTTTGGTCTGTGACATAGGGCTTTGTTTTATATACTTCCTACACTTATTTTTTCATTTGTGACAGAATGAAGAATGTTTATTGGTTTTTGATTGTTGTGAAGTCCATCCTTTCAGAACTTGACGGCTTGATAATCAAGTGAAGGAAGAAGATGATGTGAACTTAAATATTTGCCAAATACACATCTTCTTCCTTCACATGCTGAAGAATGGTTTCCAAATTGATGAGGATGAGATACTAGCCACATAGCAGAACATATTTACCAAATTGCTAAAGCCTCTAGTATTTGGGGATAAGAAAAACCAAAGAATTTTATTTCATAATTCTATAAATATCGATTAAAATGTGAAGAAATATATCTAGCAAAATAAACTCATTTGATGGTTGAATATGGATTCAATAATTGGTTCCTTTTCCGGTCAAAAACTGCTGCACACATATTAATAATAACATATTTTCCTCGTCGATAATTAGATTTTGCATGTCAACCATTGGTGAAAACAATTGTCAAATTTGGTTCAAAAACTAAGTTCTTTTAGAATTTTGGCAAAATTTCCAAGCAAAATCTTGGCCAAGTATGAAAAACATTGAAAAATAAGAATATGTTAAATAATAAAAACGTTATTGGGAAAATACTTGAAAAATTACGTTAAAGTGTCAATAATTGATCATTTTACCCTATTTGTTTGTAAGTGAAATTCATATTTTAATTTGACCAAATCACTGCGACTAAAAATAAACTAATAATTAATCAATCAATCCCCCTTCTCCCAACAAATATTTCATTTGCTTTCTTTAAAATTCTCATTTCTTGTATTTTTTCCAGTTCGGATTATTGAAATATTCGGAGTACCGAAATTCGGATTAGGGAGAGAGCACTGTAATATCAAAAGACAGCATGACTGTAGACGCACATTTTTTTATGATGGCTTGAGATTTTTTTATATCTCTCCTCCTTCTCCGCCTTTAGATAACCTATACCGGTTGGCCGTGAGAGAGAGATTTTATGTGAGAAGGAAAAGAAAGAGAGAGAGAGAGAGAGAGAGAGAGAGAGAGAGAGAGAGAGAGTGTGTGTGTTTGTGTGAATAAGGTAGAGTGTATGAGAAGTAAAAGGAAAAGAGAGAGAGTGATTGAGAGAGAGAAAGTAAGTGAGTGAGAGAGAGAGGGCGAGAGAGTGAGAGAAATGAAGAGAGTGAGTGAGTAAGAGAAAGAGATAGTGGGTGAGTGATTGTGAGAGAGTAATTGACTGTGTAAGAGAGAGAGAGGATATGAGTGAGTGAGTGAATGAGAGTGAAAGAGTAGGTGAGTGAGAGTGAGAGTGAGAGTGAGAGAGAGAGAGAGAGAGGGAGGGAGAGGCAGAGAGACAGAGAAGGACATAGTAAGAGATAAAAGGAAATGAGAGAGAGAGAGGGAGAGAGAGAATGAGAATGAGTAAATGAGTGAGAGAGTGAGTGAGTGAATGAGAGAGAAAAAGTGAATGAGAGAGAAAACGTGAATGAGAGAGAAAAAGTGAAGGAGAGAGAAAAGTGAATGAGAGAAATAGAGTGAATGAGGAATTGTGTGTGAGAGGGAAAAAGGGAAGAGTAGGTAAATGAGTGAGTGAGTGAGCGAGTGTGAGAGAGAGAGAGGGAGTAACTGAGTGAGAGTGAGAGATAGAGAGAGAGAGGGAGAGGAATAGAGGGAGAGAGGGAGAGGCAGAGAGACAGTGAAAGAGAGAGTGTAAGAGACAAAAGGAAAAGAGAGAGGGGGGAAAGAGGGAGAGGCAGATAGAGAGGAAAAGAGAGAGTGTAAGAGACGAAATGGAAAGAGAGAGAGAGAGGGAGTGATAGCGGGAGAGATGGAGAGGCAGAGAGACACAGAAAGACAGAGTAGGAGATAAAAGGAAATGAGAGAGAGGGGGTAGAAGGAGAGGGAGGGAGAAAGGGAGGGAGAGAGGGAGGATGAGAATGAGTAAATTAGTGAGAGAGTGAGTGAGTGAATGAGAGAGAGAAAGTGAATGAGAGAAATAGAGTGAATGAGGAATTGTGTGTGAGAGGGAAAAAGGGAAGAGTAGGTAAATGAGTGAGTGAGTGAGTGAGTGTGAGAGAGAGATCGAGAGAGATAGAGAGGAATAGAGGGAGAGGCAGAGAGACAGTGAAAGAGAGAGTGTAAGAGACAAAAGGGAAAGAGAGAGAAAGAGAGCGAGAGAGAGAGACGGAGTGAGTTAGTGAGTTAATGAGAGAGATAGAGTGAATGGATTGTGGGCGCGATGGAAAAAGGAAAAAGAGAGGGCGAGTGAGAGAGAGTAAGCGAGTGTAGGAAAAAAAGAGTAAGTGAGTGAGTGAGAGGGGTCATTGGAAAAACCAAAAGGACCTTAGACTACATGGATTTTCGATAATTTATTCTGTTCAATGAATCGCTAACTTTCCTACTAAAAATGAAATGGTAGATCAATTTACATTTTTCTTGTGTAGAATAAAGTACACCAACTGCTTATAAATTAAACAAAAAAGGATGATTTAAAGAAAAAATAAAAAAGGAAAAATTTAAGGAAAAAACAATTGAACAATTGATGAGTACCACATTTTTGATAGTGTTTAGTCTTATGAAAACATAAAAAAAAGAATTTTATGCCTTTCGAAATTTATTCTCAATTTTGTGGGAAAAATAAGTTCCTCCCCTGTAACTTCTTAAAAACGTCTCAATGTTTCAATTTGGTGTGAAAGACAAAAACATTTAAAAAGTTTTATTTCTAAATTAACAACAAAATTTAATGCCCCTGTCAACAAAGTTGTCTAAAGGACTCTCGTTGGTATCAAGCCGAGGGTTTACGCATTTACGGACAGCTTCTTTTAATGTCGATAAATTTGTTGACTATTTTTTCTTATTTTATTTATTGATTCACTTTTGTTAATAATTTAATTTTTTTTAACTAACGAAACAAGTATTAGTTCAGATTATTGGATTGTATTGCCTGTAGAAAGATGATATGTCTTAAGAATGGCTGAAGAAATTGGAAAAACGTTTAGAACGCCGCTAAACCCGCATGACTTACATGTTTTACAAGATGGTGTTCTTTGTCTCCTTAAACTTGTTCCTTCTTTGCTATTTTTTATGGAGATGACAGATCATGATTGTGTGTCTGTGTAATCTCACTGAAATCGAGTCTTTTGTATAAGGTCGTGAGGGGTGTGGTGCGTGTGTCGACGTTTATCAGTGCCTTGGATGGATGCGGTGGATTCATCCGGGGTTTTTTATTGTTCCAGTCGGTCTTTGTGATCTCGGTCCTCTTTTTTTAAATTAATTGGTTATTTTTTGTTTTTATGAGTTTCTATACTGTTAAACGTGTTCTGTTTGTATATCTCAAAGTTTTCAAATTCATTTTTCGCCCCTTTTTGTACTTCGTGTTGATTCGCGTAGTTTGATTTTCCGCCATTGTCCCTAAACGAACTTACGCTCTTTTTGTCTTTTATTTTTCGTTCCGGTGCGATATATTTTCCCCTCCATTTGCCATTAGTGTATTATTTTATCTCTCGAAAGTCTTTGTCTCTCGCAGATACAGCTTTTTCAATAAAGCAAGCTCAGCTACTAAGTTCGCCGACTCGACAACCACAAAACATAGTCTCACGAAGTATATTTTGCCCATGAATTTCTCATACGTTGTCAGTTTCTCCATTTGGTAGTCTTACGGATTACAACCTGGAGAAAGAATTTTTCCCGTGATAGCAGGTTTTTTCGTTCACTGTGCCAACCATCTTTCACATGATTTAATAATTAAAATCGAACCCATCAAACCCAACTAAATTGTAGTTCCGAAATAAACTTGAAAATGGATGAATTACAGACTTGAAGTTCTGGACCAATTTTTCGCAGTTTCTTTTTATATATCTTGGCCCAATCATTCTAAAAACATCAAATAAAACTACCTTTAACAATTGATAAGCAGTTGAATTGAATAACAAGTACATATGGGGTCCTTTTTAGATGAAGAACATGTGAGTTAGTAACATTTCCTCCTTTAGGCAGTTAACTGTGCTGGTTAAGGATGGTTAGGGGAAAAAAAGGTCACTGTAGCATAGCTGATCTAGTCACTTGTTTATCAGACGTGAATTTTTATTTCTAAGATAAATATGGCCTGATTTTACTCTCTAATGCGTTAATAAACAACAATTACATTAAACCTTAAGTCATAATAAAGTAATAATTAATAGCAATGTTAATAACCTTTTTTCTCTATTTGGAGTCATAGGGATATCCTCTCTGCAGCCCTCGAACTTTTCACATGATTTAATAATAAAAATCCAACTCATCAAACCCAACAAAATTGTATACAAGTTCTGAAATAAAGTGGAAAATGGATGAATGACAGACTTGAAATTCTGGACCAATTTTCCGCAGTTTCTTTCTTCTGCCCCTATATCTTGGCCCATGATTGCATCTGATCCCTACTAATGGTTTTCCTGGAAGATTTTCTTTTTTTTAATAAAGTAAAAAAAACCTTTTCATATCTGGGGTATCTGGGCCTA